ATGCTTCTACGCCAGACTCGCGGAGGTGATATCCGAACAGAAGCAGCAGCCCAGAAGTTATGTTACAGCCTGGATGAGATGTCGACTGTCCTCTCTCCTTCGGTCGGCTGTGCTCTGCCTCAGGGGAACGAGAGCATCGGCCCCAAAGCCGACAACAGTTGCAGATATTGACTATGAGGCTACAGTTACTGAATGCCGCATAGATCTGCGACTCAACTAACTCAATACAGCTAAGATAGCTACTTATGTATTAAGATATTTAATATTAAGGTAATAAAATGGCGATGGTATGGCTATTGGGGGAGGCTGGAGGCCATTCTAAAAAAATAATAGTCGTAGTAGTAACATCAGCACCGTTGTAGTGTGTGTGTGTGTGGTGGTCAATAAGCTACACCTCACCACATGTGTTTCTCTAGGGACAACGATGGGCACGATGGAGAAACCCTTAAGAAAATTGTTATGTAACTCAGCCGCCCCTCACCGTTCCGCCCTCTTAATAGTAGTAGTAGGAGAGGAGAAAGTGGCAACGGTGTGGTGGTGGAAGGATAGTGTAGTGTTGACAATACAGAAAGTCGTTTTATCTGAATAGCAAACTGATTTATCGCCCCCATCCTGATAGTAGTAACGATAGCAGATGGAATAGTAGTAATAATAGCGGTAGTAGTAGTAGTAGTGGTGGATGTATTTGGGAGAACTGACGATATTGAGAGATTTGGCAACATGGCCCTATAGTCGAGTTCACTGGCTTACACAATCCGACCAGTTCGCGTCATGCTTCCCTCACACCCCCTCACTTTATTCATCCCCCTTCCCTCCCCCTAAGACCCATTTTCATCCGTTATGTAGAGGGAAAGGGGGAAGGGAAGGTAAAATTGACCGACAACCCTATATTTTAAGCCTTATTAAGATACCTGTGTTTCTTTAGCATTTAGGAAGTTGTAGGGTCTTGTTGACATAGGCGAGGACTCCGATGGTCGTGCGTTGCGTCAAATTATTTCTCCTAGACTAATATTCTTCTCCCTTCCCCCTATCTCCCTTACATTGTGGGGGGGGGGGGGTATGGGCGATAATTTAGAGGGAGAAGTAGAAAGTGAGAGAAACAAAGGAGGAGGTAGACGGAACAAACAGTAAAGATTACCGTACAGTGCAGGTGCGGTAATGTGGTGGTGGGTGACGGGGCGAAAGTGGGAGCGATAATTGTGTGTGTGTGTGGTTTGGATTCTTATCTTTCTTCCTCTTTTCTCTCTTATAGTGAGTCATTAAACTACGGAAATACGTGTGTTTGTGTTCACTTAACCCGAGTGTTTACAAGTAAGCTGAGGCAAATGTCGGCCAGATGGAGGGATACGAGCACAGAAATTTCGTCTTGTATAATCCAAGGTAGGATTAACTAACACGGTACACAGGTGATGGTCATGTTAGAGAGGATATATAGTTCTTCGTGTCGCGCGTTAACAAGGTGATCTCTGCCAGTAGCGCGCCATATCTGAAGTTAGTCTTATTTAACATAACGGTATAAATTTACATGGGTGTCTGCCTCAACCATTGGCATTGTATTGTGTTATATATCTTAAAACGTGTGTGTGTGTGTTGCTCATAATACAAACTGTTAATAAATAGCTTCTTTACTGAGCTACCAAACTTAACTTATGGTAGCGTTTGGTTTGGTTATAAGATATCTTAAATGAATTAGACCAAACTGTAGAATGGGGAACATTTCAAGTTTATACTGTGTGCGTAGAGTCTTGCGTTAACGGTGCCAATTATTTCAGGGTGTACAAGTTTTTAATAAGACACATTAAGTGATGTGGAAGCTTCCAGGAAGCATAGAACCGTGCCGCCAGACGTATGTGTGTGTGTGTGTGTTTACTGTGTAGTATGAAGGTAAAAAAAAACTGCCAGGAGTATAATAATGTAATATGTGTAGCACCGGGAATATATACTGTATATGTGTGTGTGTGTGTGTAGTTAGTGTATGGAGACGTTTTTGTTATACCAAGTGCCACATTTTACGAGTGTTTTTTTATGAGTAAACATATTTGGTAGTGTTTGGACGTGCCGGCCCCTTGAACACTTATCAAGTTGATGCGTGTGTTTATACCTGTCGTTTACTAATATGACCACCAACCTTTATCAACAATGTATAGACCAGTATGTGTGTTGTGTAAGACATATATTTGCATTATTTAGATAAACCATTTACCATATCTAGACCAGTGTTGCTTCGTAGATCAGTAACTACGTTCTTTGTTTAGCCTAGCCCAGTCTGTTAATGCAATGTTTAGACCATACTGTTATTTGAATAGATCAGCTTGGTGTTACACTCTTTAGACCAGTTCGTGAAGTGTTTAGACAAGCCTGCCGTTAGTGTTGAAACCAGCATTGTTTAGACCACCTTACGTATAGTGTTTAGCTGAGGAAGAGTTTAAACCAACCTATTCAGTCTTTAAATGAGGCTATTGTCACAATTTTTAAACCGACCTGTTTTTGCCGCTATCATTTGGTTATAATTTTACTCACAGATGATCTTCTGGAAGAGGCTCACGCCTGTGACTCCAGCTCAATAGCCTCTTCTCTACTCAGACGGTGGCTGTGTGTGGCGGATAATTGTGCCCTAAAATTATATACTTGTTGATTTTTCCAGTATTTATCTAATTTTGCTTCAAACTTTTCCACCGTCTCCACATTCACTACCCACTCGAGGTAAACTATACCGGTTGTTGACAGCCGTACTCGTGAACGAGTGTCTTCTGAGATTTAGCCTCGCTCTTGTTTTGTAGATCTTCTTTGAGTTTAAAACTAATTTGTGAAAGCGTCATGTTAAATATCCCTATTACCCCATTTATTAATCTATTACCCTATTTTCATTTTAATATTAGCTTTCGATTCAACCTATTGAACCCGCTAAGTAGCATTAAGGTGTTTAATCATTAGTTAGAATAACCTTGAGAGGGGCTAATCTTCATGTGATCCCAGATATTGTGTTAATTTAACATTCAAATTAACTATCATTTTGTAATTGAGTCTTATTTGCTTCAACCTGTTGCGCTTCGCTGTAATAAACATTAATATTTTGTTTGGTATTTTAAAATGGCTTCTATATTTTTTTGTGTTTTACTTATAAGAAAATAAATATCAGGAGAATGGGTAGGTGTGACGCAGATATGAAGTGTGGAATGCTTGTCTAACGTGACGTCATATTTACCCCGCACATCAATTCTCAGCGGCCAAGGTCATGCTTAGTGGAATGTTGGTTGAGGAAGGGATGTGATCATTTGTTGCCTGTCTCCTCCCACACACCAAACACATTATATAATTCAATTCGTTTTCTATATTATGTTTATGAATTATATCTCTCTGGATTTCAATACTTATTAATAATTGCCCTGGAATGATATTTATACCTGAGGTTACGTTTGGCCGCGTACCACTAGTATAAACATTATTGGCTTGACTTTATATTTTTGTTATGGTGGGTAGTGTCAGGCTATGCCAAGAATTAACCAAAGTGATAGGGTCACTAACTGCAACACCCTATTCCTGGCGTCCCTGACCTTTACCTAGTGTGCCTCAGTTACGTGTGGTGGTGTGTGTGGGTGGTTCGTGTGGCATCCATATTTAACGCACTTTGATGGTATCCTTGTGTTAAATTGCCCGTCTCCTCTTTCTCCGTGTATAGAATCACACTTAAATATGTTATCTACACTTATATGGATTAGATTACAACGTTGAAGTATTTTATTTACAAACCGTACATCTTATGTAGTTTGTTTACAATGTTGTACAGTATTAGGCTGCAAGTGTGATAAAAAAATTCGTGAGTAGTATAACATTAATCAAATTTAGTTTTTGGTAAATTAGATACTATTTGGCTTCCAATGATAGATTTTATCAGGTTTAATTTAGTTGGTGTTAATTTATTCATATATAACAATGGTTAGCAAGTATTTTTTTATTCGAGTCACTTGAAATCATTGGTAGTTACTATTGTCTTATTTTTTTGGGGTTGACACGTGTAATTAATTAAGCCCCTTATAACGGTGATATGCTAATTGCTCTTTTAACATTCAGTCATAGTTGTTGGTTTAATTACATAATTAAGCCTTTTATTCGTTGATAATTGTTGACTTGTAAGTTCATTAACTCATGGCTTTTAACAGTTGTTATGCAGTCCTTGTGTAATAATTTTATATTCATTTGAGATTAAAATACTTAGAAATTTAATATTTAGAGTAAAAAGACCAATAGTAATAATGATATAAGAGCGACAACCCAAAATAAACTAAAACACATAATAACAACTGTGATAAGAACAATAATAACACCCCTTAAGAATAATACTGTGGCAAGTAGCATGTAACAATAACAATAATCACAACAATAAGGTGATTTAATCCCTATAACGTGGCGTATAACAGCGTGAGATTATTATTTGGACGCTTGTTGTGGTCCCGGCGAAACTGGGGAACACGACTTCAATGGACGGAACTGGGGAATAGATTCAAGTCTAAGGGGGTCGCGTCGGGGCTCGTATTATGGGGGGGGATAAGCCAGTGGATAATGTAAGGGGTAGGTTAGTGGATAATGTAAGGGGTAGGTTAGTGGATAATGTAAGGGGTAGGTTAGTGGATAATGTTGGATAGAGTGGATAATGTAGGGATAGAGGCAGAGCAGTTTAATAGTACAGTGCTGGGGTAAATTGGATAATATAAGAGGTTAGGTGGGATAGTTTTTTAGCCAGCTGAAGGCACTTGTCGGGTAATGTTTTAGTGAAGTGGATAGTATTAAGGCTAGTTGGATACTGTAGAACAAGAATGGATAGTATGGGGTCTTGTCTGTAGGTTTATATAATTATGTAGAGTAACAAGTTTTATTAAATAGAAACCCTTTATTCTGCTGTGAGGTATTTAAAAGGGCTAAGTTTATTTTAAAAAGCCAAAATTAAGTATAGGTTTGTTTTAAAGGCATAAACACTAAACTGGAGTATTGTTTTCTTACAGTGTGGGGAGTAAGTGCGTTGTGGAGAGTCTGGTACAGCAAGTGAGCCAACTTTCTGATGTGGAGAAGTTCCTACTGTACCTCAAGCTGCCCGTTGGCCGACCCCCAGACACTGATCCGCTCAAACAGTACGTCTAATTTCTTTATTGATCTCTTTTGTTCTGTAATGCTTTAGTCTTGTTTGCTTTGACCTGTTCGAATCTTGCGTCAAGTGGTACGTACTCTTGTTTACTGTGTTCTGTTTACTCTTGTTTGTGCTATTTTAACTCAATTTTACTCGTTTTTCTTATTTTTTGGTTCTTGTTTTACTTAATCTTTTGTTTGTATCAGTATTGTACTCTATATTTTATTATGTACTACTGTTTGCTGTTGTTTGTACTGTCGCACTGTAAACAAATGCAGCTTTCTTCCTATTGTTTATACCAAGCTGCCCAAAGTTGACTCCAGCTTCACACTCCGCCTTCCTTGGTTACTTGAGTTTGGTTCTGGGACTATTTTATGTCATTCCTGTCTACTCACATGTACACTAAACCATTCAGATGAGTGTTAGTTCACTGTAGTTTGCTTATTTTAATTGTCTCCTATTTTTATTGACCATGCGCCTGTTCCTCTTTACACTCGTGATTTTTTTAGACTTGATTACTTGTTTTGTTTACATCGATTACTTTAGCTTTCTTTTTGTTCTTAAATGAGGTTCCATGTTTTTGTTCTTGAGTTTTGTATATCTGTTCTATATACGTTACAATGTTGCAATTTACTCTATACTATACCATGTTTAGTGCATATCTCTACAACCTTTGTGCTTTTGTGTTCATCTTTACTCATGTCTGTGCTTGTGCATGTCATCCTGCTCAGACATCCTTGAATAGTCTTATTTTATACATTAAACATGATCAACTTTCTGAATTTTGTTAACTAAATCAGACGAGTTGCAACCATGTGTAGACTGCAACACCAAGTCATACTGATCACCATCATATGTTGACTTGTGCATCAACATAGCAATGCAGCTTGCCTTTGATGTCATTATTTTGCCGTAGCCATTGATGTTCTTGGCCAGTCATTTTGTTTAATGTACAAAATCACAAAATTCCAGTTTCAATTTTGAGCAGATGGAGATGAAATTTATGCATTGAATATATTCTGAGGTTGATACATAGAAAATCGTAAATTTACTCACACCCCCCCCCCCTCTCTTTACTCATGCCTCTCTTCAAATGTTCTCAAGTGGTGTCTTATTCATGTTGCTCTAGTGTATTTGTTATTTGCTTAGTGTTCTTGCTTATTCTTATTTATTCATTAGTGTTTCGTTTAATTTATGTGTGTGTGTTATTTCTTATTTCTTATTCCTGTTAAAATCTGTGCCTGTCCGTCAGTCTCAGAGCTTCACTTGACCCACCTTCTCAGTCTCCACTTTGTTTCTCTTGGTGACTGTGGCTATACTACATATGTAGTCTAATACAGTACAGTTTACTCAGATGACTCTCTCACTCACTCTCCACTTACTCAGATCTCTCTCTCTTGTCACTACATGTTTTTCATACTGTACTCTCAGAGCCTTGATCACCCACCTCCATTTCACTCTTGTTTCCAGGCTTAGTAGTGTACATTCATATCTTATTACATTACTGTATAAATATGTAAATTCACAGTAATTATTGTGCATTACTTGACTCACAATTTAGTCACTTAACTCACACAAGTAATGTAATTATATCTTGGCAAATTATTATCACAAATGTTAATGGCCAGTTTTGTCTCAAATTTGTTTTACATTTTTATTGAGCATACCAGTTATAGTGTTACTTGGTGTTCAATAAACAACACAGTTAATAGTTTATAATATGTACTACATGGAGATTGAATGTTGCATTTTCTAATGTTAAAGTTTCATTTTAAATGGACGCAAAGCGTGTCTTCCAGCCCCTTGAATCCTTTGGGTAGTCGGTGTGAAATACAACTCACAATAACATGGATACGCACCCACTTGGAGATGAACAGCGAGGTGTCTCTGCCAAAACGTGAAGTTTACAACGAATACATGTGAGTAACTCCTTCAGTGTTTATGTCTCACTGTGGTGCTTACTGCTACAGTACATTACTGCAGTACAGGAGGTCCCTGACTTATGAACACCCACATATACGAATGAGGTTAAACTTGAAATTTACAGTATTTTATTTACCTGGTGACATTTCTTTTTACTTTCATTTACTGTACTGTATTTTGTCATTCTATTTCTTCTTTTTTCTTAAATTAAGTGATTTTAGATGTATATAAGGACTGAGGCTATGGTATAGTGGGATTTTGGACATTGTTCTGTAAGTACGGTATGCGTATAGCATGTGTTCCGACTTACGTACAAATCCGACTTCTGAACGTCCTCGGGAACGGAACCCATTCGTAACTCAGGGACCCCCTGTATACTGTACAGTACAACTATTGTGTAACTCATTTACAACTGATGCATGTTAATATTACAGAATTGGGTGGTTGTGTGTAGTAAATTTTACACAATACATGTACAGTTGCCAGCAAACATTCTCCCACAGCCCTGTGTAGCAAGTTGTGGGAGGATTTTTGCTGGCAACTGTCTATACATTACAGTACTTCACTAAATAGAATATATATATACAGTAGATATAGTAAACCCTCGATAACCCGGCACATATGGGGCTCTGGCCTTGCCAAGTTATACCAAATTCCGAATTATTGAGGCACCCCCCCCCCCCCTACAAAAATGCAACAATAAAAAATTATAATAATAATAATAATAAACGGTTTATTAATAGAGTTGCAGCCGGTGGCTGAAAATATACAGACTTACATTTGATTTAGACATAATGATATAATATGCATTGAATACATTTACAGGGCTGTACAGTACATAAATCAGGAGTTGTTTATTATTTTAACAATAGATGGGATGGTGCTGTTCTTATATATATCGGTGCGGGCTCTTGTGGGCTGAATTTTGTTGTAGTGGCGGACTGCGTGAGTTGGGTGGGGGGCTGCAGGAGGTGGCGATGGCGAGGGTGGTGCAGTAGTCCACGGCCAAACCTTTCCAGTGCTTGGTGGTGGAGGTCACTGAGGGATGACATTTCCAGGGTGGAGAGAGCGTTGATGTAGCCGGAGTAGTCTGCGCCGAGCATGATTCTGCAGGCTCTTTTCTGTACCTTCTCTAGCTGATGTTGTTGGGTGGAGTTGAGAGAAGACGACCAGGCTGGTGACGCATACGTTAGTTTGGGGAGAATAAAGGCGTTGTAGATGGTCCTCAGCTCTGGCGTGGGTTTCCCAAGTGACCTAAGTCTTCGTAGCATGTAGAGACGGTACGAGGCTGCCTTGACTGTGTTATTTACATGGGCCTTCCATATGTGTGTACATGTACTCTGTAATTACTAAATGTAAAAATTTAACACTTACCAACACTGCAGGCGAAGAATAAAGCATCATGGTAGGTGATGCAGGTGGCCAGATATGCCTAGATTTTCCCAGATACAGTAATTTTATATATCTTGGCATTTCCTGAGTTATACTATACAGTGATACATTCCGAGACCATATCCGTGTCGAGTTATCGAGTGTTTACTGTATACGTACTATAATTCTTCATCAACACCATGAAATGAAATATTTCAGCATACAAAAAGATAATTTTTTCGTACATTACAGTATATCCACCATGATGTATCGTATGTAAGGTTGTGCTGTAAACAGTGGTGGATACCGGTGTTCACTAGTGGTTCTCCAGGCCAGTAGGTTAAATGGTTTACTGTAAGGGTTTATTTGCTCCTCCAGTAATACACAGTACAGTACACACACATATAGTGTATTACAGTTTATGTAATTAGACTGTTATGTACCTCTTTAGTGAGGCTGGGGTATGTCTACACCACACTACACCAGCCATCACTTAACCCAGTGCTTACACTTGTGGCTCATGCTGGAGAATCAAAGTCCATGTGTCCATTATTTTGTACAAGTTTTGAGATAGGTTGAAGTCACTTACCTAAAATGTGTAAAGTACTGAACAGATGGATAGAAGAGGCACATGGAACACACTGACCCACCCACAGTACCAACCATGTGATATGTATACAGTACCCCACTACAGTATATATCGTAACCTAAGTCCATATGTATATACATTTAAAATCACTTAATTTAAGAGAAAAGAAGAAATAAAATACAGTAAATTCAAGTAAAAAAAATAAGTCATTTGGGTAAATAAAATACTACTGTGAATTTAAAATTTAACCTTGTTCTTATCGGCGGGTGTTCATAAGTCGGATGTTTGTAACCCGGGGACTGTACAGTATATGTTTTGTGGTGCTGTATAACCTTCATGTGATTAGTAAGTGACCTGTGAAAAACTTCCATGAGAACCTCCCTGATTGAACCTTCTAGGACCAGGGGGCTTGACTTAGTCTAGCAGTAGGCTATGTTGTTATTAGTGACTAGTGGGAGTTACTACTGAGGAGCTGCTTGCCCAGTGAACCAAAAGTTGAAGCATGTTTAAATATTTTGGCCCAGTTGTTGTTTTGTGAACCAGCAATGTTTTTAAGTTCACATTAACTCTCACTTTCCTGTAATCATAAAGGACCTTCACATTTCTCCTGATGCTGCACCCTGGCTGTGTGGTTCTTCCCTAGGCAAATCTTCTGCTCTTCTAGTGAATAAATCTTATGGATAACTGTTATTTCATACCTTGTTATTTGACCGTAATGGTGTTTGCTTTATTGCATGTTAAGGTGAGTGAGAGATAAGTGTCTGCCATCTTAACTTTATTCTCTTCACTGGAGTTAAATGTTTTGCTCATGCCATTGTAGATATTGTACCTCATTGTGTCAGTAGATGGAGCTGCTGTCCCTAGTACTGTACAGTTGGCCTATGTGATGCTGTATCATGTATTTTAACTCCGTCTTAAAATTATTCGTTTTGGAAGTTTTATGGCATATGGGAGTCTGCCACCTCCCATAAAAGCAGCAGACAGTTTATTGTGATGCAGCTACATTTATCATAAAGTTTCCTTGTACGAGACTTACATAAGGTTGGCTGCTGGTGTCACAAGGGGCCATCAGATGAGTTTAATGAAGGTTTGTGAATTATGATATAAAGGTTTACAAGTGTGAGCTGGTGTCCTAACTAAGTTGTCCATGGTTGTTTTTTATTACACCATTGCCACTATGCTGCTGCTGGTAGTCTTGTTTCACTTGCACAATGAACACCCTTCCTCTGAACCCTGACTTGTGACTTATACAATGACTTGCTCCTTGTCCTGTTTTGGGACTTGGGGAATTCATTGTCTCTGTGGACGGGTTCGGCCTCGTGCTTGACACTCACTTTGTGTGATGATCTCGGCTCTTGGCCAGAGTTGTTCTTTGATCAGGAAACTTTTTACTCGAGTTTCATTCTTGAACTTTTGCTAAAGAATTTTACCTTGACTTCAGTGAATAATGTCTGGATCATGATGACAATGTAGTGTTCATTATTGGGTACAGTAATACAATACAGTATTGTATTATAATTTTTTTTACCTAGTGTTTGGTCCCTGATTCTATTGACTGTGCAGCCCACGTACTGTAGTTGTCAGCTCTGGTAAACATTAAGGTGATGTGCAATATTCTGGCTCCATTGATCTTCTACTGACAAGTGAATATTCAATTTTTAATAGATTAAATTATGATTATTTAATGTGGTACCTTTATGTCTTGGGACGAGTCAATAAACTTTTATAAAATACTCATTATATGAACCATTACAATAAAATACTTCTTTCAGTTTTATGGGATGGTTTATTTCACAAATTTGCAGTAAATGAACCACAATAAATATATGTATGTCATTTATGCCTTTTTTATATATGGCCCATTAGTAAATAATAAAAAAAGGTCCCTAAGTGGAAGTCAGTCATGTTTTCCCCTGAACTATATAATTGGATTTCCTGACTCACTGAGAGATTTAAGAGAAAACTATAAAAATCTGGCCATAAATGAGAGACAGGTCATATAGGCTTCAATCTTTCTGTGTCAACCTAACCTAATTATGTAATTGAATTAGTGCCCATTATGGAAAGGACCTCTTAGGATTAGAACACATACAGTATGATCCTATATAGCTTGGTTAAGTTGTGGCAGTAGGAAATGAAGACAATTTGCCCAGTCATCGGTGAGTTATCTTTCCTGAGAATCGCCTATTTTTTCTTTCATAATCTGTTGAAGGTAATTTAATTTTTTTTCAAGTTTATTCTCAGTTAATGGAAGGTGGCTGAAAGCAAGAATATATATTTTTTATTTTATTCAGTTGTTCTTTGTTCTGTAAAAGATGTTGCTCCTCTGAGGGTACTACACTACTTCTCTTCCCCCACAAGACCCCAGACCACTCCTGTCCCTTCGCTTCACACAGGCTAGTATCCAGCACCACATCCTCCTCTAAGACTCGCCCAACATGATGCTCTTCATTCGTTCATTCAGACATATAGAAGTGATATCCTGCTACTGAATCACATCAATATTTAACTAACTGTATCTTCATTATTTTTCCTTGGAGTCCTAAAATACAGAATTCATATCTGGTCTTATTTGATATTTTGGGCTGAATTCCTAGTTAAGAAAAACTATTACTTTTCTCCCCCTCCTTTGATCCATAGTGACATTAAGGGATTGTAATTGACCTGTACTTTAGGAAGATTCATCATATTTTAGGTCTTTGGTATGATGGTTTACTTCTTGTCTTATACTCATCTCTGTCATGTAATCTCCCTCCTCCCCCATTCTTAAGATCCTGGGATCCCTTGACCCTCTCCACACATAAATGTCAGAAGATTTAAGATAATGGATGAATACTGTTTATAGATATCCGAGGAATATTACGAGTATTATTACTATTAACTATTATTATTTAAGTTTTTTCTTTGTATCTCTTGGGGAACTTGTGTCTAATTCATTGTAAAAAGGCTATGAACACTATAGTCTGTGGTTATAGTGTATTAAGTTGTCACCCTAATGCCTACCCTAAACTATGTACCTGTACTGTGTTAATTATGTTGAGGCACTACATAACTCACATCACAATGGTTTCTTACAGGCACTACTGCAACCTCAACGACATCAAGGCTTTGAGTACGGCAGACTTCGGTAAAGTGATGAAGCAAGTCTTTCCAGGGGTGAGACCACGAAGGCTCGGCCAACGTGGTGCCTCCAAGTACTGCTACTCCGGCCTTCGTAAGAAATGGGCTCTTGATCCTCCTGACTTACCTGATCTCAATGACAACATGACTAAAAAAAATATGGTGAGGGTTTTAGTGAGCTGTTCATGTAGCGTAAGAGCATTACTTAACAGGAGGTGTAATGCCTCTGATGACGGCCAATTCACGCACCACAACAAAGACCAAGGAGCCATAACTGTGGACACTAAGGAGAAAATATTGATTGGTGTGTGTGCGTGCGTGCGTGCGTGCGTGCGTGCGTGTGTGTGCGTGCAATAATAATAATTAACGGTTTATTGAAAGAGCTTGGAAGGCTGAAAATATACAGTTACATATTTGGGGAATGGGCTTCGAATTACAAATAATATACAAGTAACATAAGTGATACAAATAAGATATATAATAACTAGATGGGGAAAAGCTCAAACTACAGGGCATTTCAACATAGTGACAGTGCAAGGACTAGTGTTTACTGGGAGTGAATACACTGGTTTATTACAAGTTATTGATAATTTTTACAATGGTTGGGACTGGGCTCTTCTTATAGCGATCAGTTCGTGTGTGCGTGTGCGTGTGCGTGCGCGTGCGTGCGTGCGTTCTTGTTGCGCTATGATGTACCTTCATGATAAGTTTGGTTAAAGTTATTGTGCTCTAAACTCAGACACTGACCACATTTTCGTATGTTAGATTTATCGAAGTAAATAAAATTTTTATTCAATAATACAAGTGTTCATTATATATTTTACTTTAATGCTTAAATTTTGGTTTTGACTCCCCATCACAGCTTGTTAGTGGACACAACACACTGTAAACTAAGCCTCTTTATTAGGTAATTCGGGAGCAGTATGGCTGGCACTACACTTGACCACCTTAACCTCCTCATATGTAAAGTTATACACTATACTGTACCCACTCACAGCTGGGTGAACTAGGGGTTACCATGGGGAAGAACCAGCAACCCCTAAAGCAGTGGCGAGCACTGTATTCTCTCAGCCGCCAACACACCCCATTACAGAGGAACATAACAAGCTTGCATGTGTCTCAGTATGTCTCCAAAAATAACAATAGACTTTAACAAAACTTAATGGTTGGATATACTTCAGCAAGATCTTATATTTAGCATTAGTGTACTGTGCCTCCATTGTGGGTCAGAAGAAATAAAAGAATTATGTACTTGTGGTTAGTTAGTTCTCTTTTGTAATAACTTGAGTGAAAAAAGAAGAAGATTCATGTGGCTATTGAGGAGGATGTGTGTTGAGTGGATGACATTGGAAAAGAAGTAAAAGAATTCTGAGTTCAGATTAGAGGGATAGAGTGTTGGTTTGGATCGATGCTGTGAAGATAATATATAATTTAATTGTAAAGGAAAAAGTATTTAAGATGAACTAATAAAGAAAAAAAAGCTTTATTATTGGATGGGAGGAAGAGAATTACTAATTGTGAAGGGAAGGATGAATAGTGTGAGTCAGATCTGTTTGTGTAATGTGTATGTTAGTTAATGATTATACAGTAATAGAAAAGAAGAATTATACTATTTATTGATTGAAAAAGACGAAGAATGGTATTAACCCCTTCACTATGGGGGGCAGGGGGGCTAGTTTTAATATTTGACATGGCTAACACAAGACTATTTTATTCAGTAGAGTGGGGTCCCTATACTCAAGGTGGTTGGGACTGTAAGATGTGAAGTCCTTATATAATATGTACTGTACCTGGTGACTTAGTGGTGTCTGGTCTGTGATGAAACATTGTGTGTGGATGTTAAGGCTCTCCTGTCATGCTGAGTATGAATGTTGGGGATATAAGCAAATGTACACTATATGAATATTTAAGCAGAGTTGTAAAGTAACAAAATAGATTTACTTGGGTACTGTACTCAAGTAACATTTTTGGGTATCTACATTTTTTAAAAGTACTCACTTATTTTTAGTACTTTTATGTGTACTTAAGTATGGTTTTCTAATACTTTTACTCCAATACAATTGAAAAAACAAAAATTGTTACTCGTTACTTGACCTAAACAAAGAGTTGTAATGTCTGTGGCAAACTAATAATATATTCTCAATTAATTATTTATTAACCGTAGTAAGAGAGTTGTGTGTGTGGAGGGTGTGGTGTGGGTGGAGGGTATGGTGTGGGTGGAGGATGTGGTGTGGGTGGAACCATGAAGAGTACAGTTTGGGGAGACACCACGCGGTCACATGCCTAGAGGCCTTGTGAGGTGAGGTGAAGTCAGGTCAGGTCAGGTGGTAGTGGCATGTAACAGCGGACTTTCACCTTTCATCTTCTTGTGTCCATTAGCACCTTGACCACCCACCTCAATTAGCCTACCCTCTTATCCCACCTCCCTAGTCGAATCCCCTCTCTTCTCCTCCACCTTTCCGTTAGATGTCAGTTGCTTTTTGCATATACCGTACCTGTTCCTAAAATTAATTTTAAAAAGGCTGTGATTCTAAGATACTTTACATAATTCTGTCTTAGATATAAAGCCTGTATCTAGACATATGTGTGAGACTGGGTGTATTTAAAATTCTGTTTAAATTACTGAGTACCACTGCCCCCTCCAGCACCCGCCAGATGTTATGTGGTGCGAAAAATTCAGCCATTCATCAATTAGAATTCAAGAGTGACTATGGAGGCAACTATCATCCACAAACTTCTCAATTGAAGGAGCTTTATAGCTACTTGGCATGTCCAGGGAAGCAATGGAGCTGCTGAGGTCTTTCCTGACATATGTAATTTATCTCTGAAGCTTAACACCCCACTACCTGCATCTGCTGCTTGTGAGCATCTGTTTAGTCATGCTGGGCTTATTATTTAATTAATTTATTACACCCCAGGGGGCGACAAACCTAGTCACAAGACCGTGCGGTCAGACACTAACACATGGCAGTCGTGTCTCGCAGGACATGCTGTGACTTGTGATATGTTGACAGTGGGACAGTCAAGGCCATGCAGTAGTGTTGAAGGGTGTTAGTGTTGGGACAGTTACACAGTTTACAGGAAGAGAAGTGCAGGTCATCCCCCCCACCTCAGATACTTACCAGATAGGTCTTTATCCTAACCTAATGCCAGCTGAGACAACATGTCTGCGGACCATAAGCCCACGCCGACGATACTTGTGTGGCTAAGGAAGAAAGTGATCATAGTGTTGGATGGATATATTCAGCCCATTCACTATCCCTGCGATGGACTGTAGGGAGAAGAGCGGCTGAACGTACGAGTAGTCTCTATCAGTAGGTCATGCTGGGCTTATATTTAGGCCTAAAAGATCCTGAATGGACAGCCGTAATTTTGAGAATCGGTTATTAATTAATTTTAGTAGAAACATTAACAAAAAACATGTGAAATGCTGTGTCTTTTGTTTTTATCTTTCATTAACTATTTTTTTTATAATTTACTGTGAATTTATTTTAATATTTCAGACAAATATTAATTTTGTTGTTACTTTTTACTTTCAGTACTTGAGTACCTTAAGAATGAGATACTTTTTTACTTCCACTTGAGTACATTGACGTTTGGATACTTTTACTTGAATAACATTTTACCAGTGTCACAATACTTTTACTTAGGTCCAGTACTTTTTACAACTCTGTATTAAGTTATTTGTCTCTTTATGTGAGGCTTTTGTTTCTCTTATTTCTGTCCACACAAACTAAGAATGGAGTTAATAGAATGTCCTTAAGTGATGTGTACTAATAGAATGAAGGAGAGAGAGAATTTATTGTTACCATGAGTGAAAACACACACACACACACACACACACACACACACACACACACACACACACACACACACACACACACAACCACTAAATGAATTGTTACAACATTTTACCCACATGATCATTAGGTTGGATTAAAGTAAGTTTATTCACGGTACAGGATGTTGATCTGTATAAACATTTCAACATTGGGGTTATTGCTACTGTACTGTGCTAAGGTCATGGCATTAAGTATTAAATTGTATGAATAAAATTATCTTCCTTTTGCTGAGTTATTTGATGTCTGTTTTGGCCTCCTATACTGTATTTCATTGACACCGTGTATTTCATTTGCAGTTGGGTGTGGACTGTGTGGTGGATGAGAGTGAAGTAGAGCGAGCCGCTAGCTGCTTAGTTTTGGAATGGGCCGAGAAGCTGTGTTCATTCAAATTTGAGTGTATCCGAGACCTGGCCCTACACCTGGTCCACAAAAACTACGTTGATAACCGATCGGTGGCTGCCTTCACTCTACTCTCCGTTGCTGATCAGAAGCAGGGTAGGGTTATTTTTTTATGCCCCTTCATGAGAGGGAAGTGTTTGTGTCTTGTTACTTGTGTCTGAATGTCAGTGTAACTTGGACCTTGTTACGCTCTTACCTCGTATTACCTGTAGTTCACTCAAATTTATTGAAACATTTTATTCTAAGTCATGTCAGGTTAAGCTTCGGTATAATAGTGTCCTTCGGTCTAATCTTGTAAATAGAAAACTAATCTTTGACTTAACAATATTAAATCAAAGATCCTTAACGTATTACTGTATATCATTGTGATCCTCACATAGTCTTAGGCTCATGAAGAAATTGTGTAAGCCTCTTGTGTCTTGATATATGTACTGTAGTACTGTGTGTATGTCCATTCTTATACAGGAATGACACATACTAAAAGTTATTAGAAAAATAGCAGTGTACTATGTAGTGTTATTTATAATTCTTTATTATTATTATTATTATTATTATTATTATTATTATTATTATTATTGCAGACATCACATTTAATAAAGTTATACGTGTAGTTTTGAATATTAGTTCACATATCTAGTGTCCAGTGCAGGTGTATGATAAGGTTAGGTGGTAATAACTATTCTGTTTCATACAGTATAATGTAAATATATATATGGTATGATTATAAGTTTGTAATACACTTTAACACAAGTAATCAAGTGGTGTAATTTGCAGGGGTGCTCGTGGGGAGCGGAGCCACTGGTGGGAAGCACAGAGAAACGCAGCTTCAGCTCCAACGTAAGCTGCAGGAGCGGGAACACATCAGAGAGCAGAAGAGAAAGCTTCAGGTATCTGTTTGGTGAAACACATTTTAACATATTTCATTTTGCATTTAGCCAAAACTTACTGTATTATGGTACTGTTGTTGTTGATCATGAGGAAATCAAGGATTATTAAAAAAATATGACATTTATCTGTAGAATGAGGAGTTTGAATTGGACAGGTGCAGCTTTTAAGAAACAGAGTCAGTACAGGGAATATGTGCAGGAATTGAAAGAAAATGGGAAAGTGTCTCTGAAATAGTTGCAGAAATGTTGAAAGCATCAGAGGATGTTTGCACAAAGATGGTGACAGAATTGATAATGTTAATTGGCAGAAGAGCAGCATTATGAATACTTATAAGGGGACTACAGGGGCTTGAAGCTTGTGAATCAGGTGAGTCAACACAGTGCAGAGTGAGAAAGTTAGGGGTTCAGAAGTGTTTTCATTGAGTGATTGTGGTGAGAAATTCGAGGTGATACTAGGGTTTGTTCTGAGCCCCTTTCTGTTTAGCATGGTGTTAGAGGCTCTGTTGTGAGATTTTGGAACTTGTCTGCCCTGGGAGTTGTTGTATGCTGATGACTTATGTTAATAACAGATATTATTAAAGAGATAGTGGAGAAGTTTAGGAAATAAAAGGATGGAATGGAGTTAAAGGGAATGAGAGTGTATGTGGCAAAAACAAAAGTAGTGATTAGTGGTGTGGGTGAAGGACTTGTGGTGGAGACTTGTCATGTGTTGGTAGCAACTCAATAATGTGCAGTGAGTGTGGAAGTAGGGTACGCAAGAGGTGTAGTAGATGGCAAACTGCAGGCTGTTGCTGATTTAAGTGTTTTGTATTTGCAGGTACTGTACTGTAATCATGTAACTAGCAAGACTTCAACATTGGGGATATATCCGTGGACTGTGTAGATGAGTTCTGTTACTTGGGTGATGTGATCAGTGCAAGAGTAGAGTCAGAACTCCCAGAAAAAAGTTTAGGTTTCTGTTGCCTTTATTGATTGCAAGGGGTGGATCTTCTCTTTGTGTGAAAGGAAAGCTGTATGCACCCAGCATGAAAAATGTGATGTAGTGTGGCTGAGAAACATGAGACATTGAAGGGGGTGACATGCTAAAGTTTGAGCAAGCTAAAATGAGAATGGTGAGAGGGCAGCTGGGTATTTAGAGTATTGGTGAGGTTAGTAGAGGTAGGTTGAAATGGTTTGGGCACTTGAAGTGAATGAGCAATAACTGGGTCAAGAGATACATGAGTTTGTATATGGAGGGAAGGAGTGCCAGGGGTAAGCCAAGAATGACATGGGGAAGAGGCAGTGAAAATTTATACAGAGATAAGAATCTTACGAGAGAGGCTGCAAGAGACCACCCAGCATGGAGAGCTGCCGTGTGTGTAATAATAATAATAATAATTATCTGTTTATTGAAAAAGTCGGCAGCTCGAAGGCTGAAAATATACATTGGACAAAAATGACTTATTACAAACAAAGACATGGGGTGGGTGGGTCGTTTAACAAAAGCTTTCATTACTGAAAGAAGAAGGAACATGAATTGAACATACAAATTATTATAGTTTACAGTTGATGGCCTGGACTGGTCATGGAGACACCAGGTGGTGTGGTGTTCACGCGGTGTAATAACTCATCCTCGGGTGTTGATATGAAGGACCTCACGTGTGTGCGTGCGTGCTCCCACCTCTGAAAAATAATTGAGCCTGAGGATTGTGTATTTAGATAAGAGTTAATAAATTTTCCTTTCAGAATTAATTGATTAAATAAGATTATCTATTATTGGTATTAGAATTGATGTGGTTGTTATATTTCCTTTTCACAGGAACAGCAACCCCCTGTGAATAAATGCAATAATGAACGACCAAAGTCCAGAAGGCGTAGTGGAGCATCATCTCGCAACCCATCAGGCGAGACTTTAGCAAATGGGACCCCACCCACTGCTCCAAATAACAAAACTGGTCCCAACTCAGGGGGTCACCTTCCTACTGCCACCTCCATAAACGCCACCATCACTACCACCACCACCACCACCACCACCAACGGCAACTGTGATAGCTTGACCTCCGAGCTTCCCAATGGTGCTACGAATGACATCTCCAGCATCAACTCTAATAATGTACTAGGCATAGCAACTATCAAGCAGGAACAGACTCTAGATTTTCTGGACTCTCTCACTGATGATAAGATCTTGGAACCCAAATGTAATGTGGATGGAAAGAATGGGAATTTTAATAGTAATATAATAACTAATGTAGGACACACTCACCAGCCTGTCAGAAGAAACTGTAGTACTAGCAGTATTATTAATAGTTTTGGGTCAGAAGTAAAGAAACCACTTGGTAACAAAGTACCAATTTCTAAAAGTAATCCCGCAAAGAAGACGTTCCTCCTCATGCCTTCCACAGTTCCCAAAAGTACATCTCCAAAAGCAAGGTTTAAAGCCATCCAACCCAAAGTGACTGAGAATAATCAAGGTGCACTTACAGGAGGGTCACAGTGGACAGATATTCATAGTGGAGGGACAGAAGATCTTTCACATCCTAGGGCAGAAACTTTGCTGAGTAACAATATGGGAGGCTCTACACTAACAGAGTCAATGCCCCAACAGCAAGGACAGAGAGAGTTACAGCAGGTAATATCTAATAATAACTGTACAAATAATCAGGAGACAGAAGATGAGTTCATGCAATATTTCCACAAGACTACAGTAGAGTTAGATGATGCGCAAAAGTCCAATCAAATATCTGAATTGCGTAAATTGTTACAGAGAAACCTGCCGGGGGGTCAGGCTCAGGGCGGAGTTGGGGGAGGTGTGAGGCCCCTGGTGAATGATGCAGATATGTTGGATCAGGATGCATCTGTAGCTGGGGGAATGAGGCGGAGAGTAAGCTTTCAACCTTCACTAGATGGAGGAGAAGCATTGAACTCCTTGATGGGTGGACAGACCGTGGGATCCGTCCCTCCCAGCCCCAACACTCGTAGGACACAGTTTAATTTTACACCAATAAGCAGTAACCTCGACCAAGCACAGGGTATGTCACAGTGCTCTAGTGCCAATGCCAGTCCTTTTATGTCTCCTCGCAATACCCCATTGCCAAGGTCACGACACAACTCTGGCCAGACCAGCTCAACCTATGTGACGCCCCGCAGTACACCATTTACCCCAGATCAGCCTAACTACCCAGTTACTTCAGAGTGCAGTACTCCCTTTATGTCTCCAATACCCACACCACTGTTTCCAAGGTCACGCCATAACTCGAGCCAGAACCTTCGTACCCCCTACACCCCTACTTGTCGCTCACGACACTCCTCAGGTGCTCCAACCTTTAGACACGCTCCTTATACCTCTGATGATATGTCTAGCCGTCGTGGAGGAAAATATCGCTCTAGGCACTCCTCAGGAAGTGTTCCACCATCTCCCTCCTCTGCTCCACTGTCTCCGCTGGTGCAGGATGGATCATTACTTCCACAACATGAAAATATGAGCTTACAACTTCCATCAGCCTCCATGCTGCACCATATGCTCAAAAATAAGCAGCCTGTAGGGAGTGGCATTAATGACTTGCGTCGCCGTCACATGTCTGCCGGGCCCACCATCCATTATCAACCTCAGCCTCCAGCGTTCCCAACTGATCCATTAGCCCAAGAAATATCAAGTGTAATGACCAACTCTCAACCAGGACCCAGCAATGCTCCTTCAGGAAATTCAAATCGACCTCAGTCAGTTCCACTGTTGCAGATGATCACTGCACCCCCTTGTAATCCAGAAACTTTCCCCAAATCCCAGCCAAACACTCCTCTAGTTAACCAACAGTTCACTTTTGCCGACTGCTGTGTGTCACAGCCTTCATCTTATGCCCCAACACCAGTGCCCAGTGAATATAATGACTTCACAGACAGTTATAACCTGGATATTGATCCAATGCTAGATGTAAATTTGCAGAGTGATGCCGGTGCTTCAGTTGGACTCGATAGTATGGAATCTTTAAATATGCCAGAAAGTCAGTCTGCCGATCTGTCCACTCTATCTGACCCATTGCAAGTCCCTCCAAACATTAATCCATTTTCTATGAATTACCAGAATAATGGAAGCATGAGGACTATGGATGATCAGATATCAAGGAATGAGCCCATTCTTGGTGGTGGTAGTTGTTGTATGGACAACCTTAGAATCCAACAGGGAGATATTGGCAGTGGTGCTCAGGGACCACTTATGAGCTCAGCCTCAATGCTAACTTTGAATGCCCTCAATCGTTCAGGGCTGTCCCTGGAGACTGGGGGTAGTGTTGGGCTTGAGGAGGACTTCCAGCCCACTCTTGGTGACCTGGGTGACCAGGAAGTGTTCAACTCACTGGTGCTGGATGTGAACAAAGACTGACATCAGCCTGCCACTTGGGCAAAGTATCTGACATAATTGTTAAACTCATCCGGTCAATTATTACCCAATGTGGCTTCTTATGTAACGGTACATATTTTGTACTTTTGTTTAGTCTACTCGGCACATTGGGTACTATACTCAACCCCGACACACCTGGAGTGCAGCCTCACATGATTGTACCTGTAGCAGGAATAGCTACTATCAGGGTTCTTGATACATAAGCCTAATTTAGTTAAGTTTGTTCCATCACCATGGACTTCTGGCTTTAGTTTACATCAGTATCTAAAGAATCCAAGTACTAGTGAGGCCTTGGTATCATTTTGTTCAAACATCCAGGTAGATGGTACAGAAACATTAGTGCTGACTTGTGTATCTTTTTTTATGAGCTACTGGGGAACCTAGTAGAGTGTCAGAGCGAGTCATCTCTCAGACAAAAGTGATCTCAAAAAGTGGAATTTGTCCTACATGTATTTAAACTCTCCACAAGTAGAATAACAGAACCTTTTATTTTGATCTTGGTCATATAGATTTTAATGAGTAGTTGGGCAAAAGTAAGATTTGAAGAAAAGGCTCTTGGCAGAACACCCTTTGAAGGTTATCAGGACAACTGGTCAGTCAACACACCCAGCTGATAATGTGGAGAAGACAGTGGAGGTGGAAGGTTTAGTAGCTATAATGAAGACCGTCATGGCATGTGCCAATTGAGTAGTGTTTTAGTTTTGTTACAATTTTATTAAACAAAAAATAATGAGTGATTTTTTGTTGAGGCTTCATGGCAGTGGCTTATGTGAAATTTAGCTGCATAAGTTAAAACAGATCTACCCATGATATAGATTAAGGATTCTGGAGAAAAGAGAAGTTGCCTTAACAGTGTTGTAATTTAAGGTAATTCCAATTTTTTTTGTTTTTGTTTTACATATTTACCAGTAAATTATTTAATAACTGAAAAGGAAGAGTTATCAGTCAAACAGGTCTGGGCATATTGGAAAGTAAGAAGTGCTAACTAAACATTGTAGTTCACTCAGTTACTTTCTCCAGTGATGTAAAAAAAATATTAATAGTTTATTTCTTGTTTGTTTTAGAGTAGTTGTATGTAACATATGACAATTTATAATTAATTTATTTTGTTAAAAAATATATGTTATATGTCTGGAGGTAACTGGTGGAATGTCTGTCTTAAATTTGTGTACAGTAATTTATAACTCCAAGAACATGAGATTGTATTCTGTTTTTAGTTGGCTATCTTCTGATTGATCAAGTCAGCTGGCTTAAAGTGTGGGGTTCAGATCGAATCAGACATTTAATGTGAAATGGTAAGAACAGCAGAATGTTGATAAGGAATAGAACATTATTAGTGCAAAAATTATGGGTGTGAAAAGATGACTTGGGAAAACAAGAGCATTAAAATTGGTTGATATGATCAAGTCGTGAAGTGTAGAATAGTGGCAACGACTAACAGTGCGTGGGAAACTGTACACTGTCATTGTAATAAGTGTTCCAAAGACAAGGGATTAGAACATGGTATTAGATGGGTTGGCATTGTTATCCTTGAAGGCAGTACTGTAAGGTTGTTCCACATGCTGATGGCCACTTTCTTTGGAGACATTCATGTGTAGCATCCCTTAATGTTGCTCTAGTCTAGACTCTGCTGTTCTACAAAAATTTTCACCGTCATGTTTTCCCTTCTACTGCTTGTGTCTCATAATGTGCACTTTCTCCTTTTAATCCTGTGAATATCTGCTGAAGCAACCCATAGTTTTTATACATTGTTTATCTTAGTGTACTATATGGCAGATGTTTCACTTTATGATAGCCAAACCAACCTGCAGAATGCCTCAGCAAAAACTTCAAGCACTGCTTTTAGGTTTTCAACCGAAAGCTTTGTAAATGATGAGCATCCATAATGTATAGGAAAGGTCCTACTTTTGCAAGTTGCTGTGTGAAGTTAAAAAGGGAGTCGGTGATGACCTACAGAAAATCTCTCCACTGAACTCTTTCCAGAGTCCTCAAATAAATATTGTATTGTGCCCAGCTACTATTTTAATATTTCAAACTATTGTTTTCTCTATACTGTCACTTTCTCATATTTAGCAGCTACACAGAAGCAGTTATAAGTTGTATTTTGAGACATGGAATATGTTTTCTACTACTTCACAGCTTTGCCTCCTTAGGCAACAGAGATGTGGACACACTTATGTCCTTGTATATATGTATTATGATATGTAATATAAGTAGTTTTCACTTGTGGATGTTTGCAGATTTTAGCAGGTAGATTTAAGGCATTGAGTGTTTAGTTTTTCACTGTCATGACAAAGCATTGACATTAGTTATTACGTACACAACATTGGATGTGAAGCACCTCCTGTCACCTGAGGTGGGTGCAAGTCATCAACACATAGGTTTAAGAAAGCCTGCAGGAATGATGGTGTGCTAGAAATGACTATGCTCAACAATATCATTATATTTACTAGATTTATTGTAAATTATAAGGGGTTCTTAACACTCCATTTTGTATCTGTGATAATGAAAAATCATACAAAAAGTTTAATATTGTAAAAGTCTACAACAAAAACACTAATTTGTAGTTTTAACTTCTGAGTTTCTGCAAAGGTTATTTTAGTAGGTAGACATATCTATATATTTTTACCCCACCAACTTACTTCAACCATATGTAATTCTTTTGTGATCTCGACCATTTATGTCAGGGTGTAATTACTTGGGTGTCAGCTCAGATATGCAACACTGCAAACAGTGCATGAGTGTTTAAGCCAGGGTGTGCAGTATTGGTCACCACTTTGAGTACAAGAACAGGAGTGGGTGTCAGCTCTTGATATACAACTACAACTATAAGTAAGAGCCTGCTCCATGTACAACCTCTAGAATTATAAAAATGTGTTAGCTAATGGGCATTAGTGTTCCAAGAGAAGAATTAGCATTTGCCAGAGTTTGCTTAATGTTGTTAAGGAGTTGTACAGAGAGGAGAGATGCATCTTCAGTTTGCTGAGTGACGTTATCTCGGACATGAAACACAATAACTCGCCTGTATGGCATAGTTCATGTCCCAGTTCTGTTATATGGGTGATATGGATTCTGTTCATTAATATGTGCATTCAGTTTTTTGGGGGAAATAGTATTAAAGCTATTTGTAAAAACAATTCCAAATTTACCTGAGGCTTTGCTGTCCAATGACGAATGGTAATACAACCCTGGGGATGCGTGAGCCTTTTGGTAAAGATGTACCAAAGATGTAGTAAATATATAGATGGTCACCTGTTCTCAGGCTTGCCCTTTTTCATCCAAAAGTTCATTACTTTGGTTGTCAATTTGCTCATCTTAGATATTAGTTTTGAACAGTTTATGGAAAATCATTTAGAATTTTTCATTTGGCTTAGTTCTTCACTGTGGGAGTACTTAAAAGGATTTATCACTCTTATACAAAAATATTTGGTTGGTTATATTTGCAGTAACAGTGTTTGGTTGTGTTGTTTTTTTATGCTACTGGATGTGTTACATGTTAATACACAAAGGCAATGATAAAGGTTTGATTGTTGGAAAAAATGGTTATGGATGTTTCATCAAAGAATGCCAGATTTTTCTTGTAGCCTTTTCTGTCCATAAGGCTTAGGACCCTTCCTCAATGCCAAGTATTTAACAACGGTTGTGCAGCATTTGTTTGCAATTGAGATTATTTATAACCATAAAAGAGCATAATTCTGTGTTTAATGGTATAAGACATTACGAGTTGCCACCCCTCTCGGCATGCTGTTCTTGTTCCCTGGCCCGACATTATGGTTACATCAGGAAGACATTGATTCATCTCGTGAATGATCCTGAATTACATTAAATTTATTGAGCACAGTGAAGTCTTAGCATCTTGTAATTGTGAATTATTAATAAATTAGATTCAAAGTCAGATAAACTTCAAATCAACACTTGATTTGTCATGAAACCAAACACATTGACTTTTGAGGAAGGATGATATACTTTTAACTGTAAAGGAACTATAGATTAACAAATACACTTTTTGAAGAATATCACTCATTTTATTACCTTAAACTGGTTTCTGTTATTTGCTATGATGTACAAAGTAAAGCACTGAACGAGAGGTTTAGTAGAGGCCAAACTCAATCATTAATCATCCTATTTTCTCATTTACAAAATATTTGTAGATCAGGTACAGTAGTTACCTAGCAAGAAGTGTGCAGTTATTATATGCATTTGTATTAAAATGGTTTTGTGTGAGCTCTGAGAATGTTAAGTCTTCTTTCTTGTAATAAGTAACCGTGATTACAGGTGTTGCTTTTGAGTTCTTGTGAATAAGGAAATGGCTTGATTTTGACAAATAAGTTTGGTTTCCATTAATCTATTCACTTCCACCCTTGGGTGGAACAGGTGCAGTATGCACCCTCTTGATCTTAAAAGACAATGGGAATGTGGAGGATTTATTTCAATGGCCCAACTCCCAAACCCAAAGGTAAGATGCAGCAAAGAAAAAAAAAGTGACGTGAAGTTGATCTCAGAAGTTGAGATTTGATTGTTTTTATTACCGAATTCTTATATGTAATTTTTTCATTATTAACTGTAGATTATATCTTTGAAATTTATATGCCAAGCCAGTTCTCAAAACAACTGAACAAAATTGTGACAAAAGATGACTGCATGATGGTAAACTTAGCATGATAAGTATTCTCTTCTCTTGTATCACCTTCATAACCACATTCATGTACTCAATCATTAGTGGCTTGGAAACTCCTAAGAACTCTGGTATTAGGTTGGTATTTGTTTAGTTTATTTCATATTTTAGTTAATTATAATGTTCTTATTTTATCCTTAATTAAACTGTGTACTTGTGAATTTTATTAACTCAAAGACAAAACTGAGATATTTAATTTTAGAACTCAGAAGGTTGAGCTTTTCCTTGTTGACTTTCAGCAGTAAATAATCACAAACTACTTTTATCATAGACACCATTTTCAAGTCACGGTCCCCTACTTTTTACAATAGTATGCAAGATGATGTACGTATATTGTAACTCAGTCATTTAGGTTTCAGTCCTTGCCATGTCATATACACATTTGAATAAGCATACAGTATATCTTTCATTTTATCTGGAAAACTTCTCAAATGTTAATATTGTACAGTATACAACCGAGCTTTATGGAGCACTCACTGTGAGCAGTGTTCAGCACATGAGATGACACCTGGTCAAAAATATCCCTGCTTCTGTTATACTGTATTTGGTTCTTGTTATCAGAAAAGCACATTATTTTAGCGGCTTTGATATTCTTATTGGTGATTTAAAGCTGTGAAACTGGTTTGGAGAAGTTTGTCAAGGCTAAATACTGTATTATTGTAAATATGACCCTCATCTAATCTGTTACCTGCTGCCATAGCCGAGATTGTTGGTAGTACATATTTGTCATTGCCTCGTGGGTGAAGATGGTTCATGTCAACTTGAGCCAAGACTTTTTGGACTTGTTCAATCTTGTGTGTTCAAATAAGCTGTAGTGTTTTAGATACATGCATTTGATTAAGATTTCACAAGGATTTTATATTGTTGTAGTATAATAATTGTATGTGTACTGAGGTCTTTACACATTACCTTTCAGTGACTGGAGTTGGATTTAATTTCTTCATTTCCTTAGGCCTATACAGTTGAGTGACAGTGGAACATGGTTTTATATTCTCTTGATTTCCTATTGCCAGTATGGTTCAAAACATCATAATGTTTTTGACAAATCCATCAGCTTTCTTGTTAAAGCTGTTCCAGTTCTGTTGTAAGAGTGAATCACTTTTTACAGTTTCCTGGCTAGAAGGAGAGGCACCTGTTAAAGTCTCTCTGCTTAGAGGGAGGCAAATGTTGTTGTCTCTTAGCTTGGGGAGAAAGGCAGCCATTTTGTCTCTAGGCTAGAGAAAGAGGCAACAGTTATTCTCTCTATCAGTGAGAGAGCCAACTGCCAGTCTCTTGGCATCAGTCAGGAGGCAGCCAACCTCTGAATTTAGTCAAATCCAATGTTAACATCCACTACGTGATTTCTTTGCCATTTCTATAACCCTGAGACCTATTGAAGATGGATATGGATGATGGCACCCTTAAGGAATGTGAAATATTTAAGATGAACTGCCATCAGTTTAGCCAAACTTATGCATCTATATTAGCTACAACATTATTTGTGTCCACGATTAAGTTTCTTGGATTAGAGAAAATCTTTTATGCAAGTTGAGAACTACCAGCAGTGATACCTTTTAGGGGTCCATGTAAGATATAAGTTATAATACTTGTTCTTATGGACTTGTGCTTTGAGACCACAACTAGGTTTTAGGCCTGAAATTTGTTTAATTTTTGAAGCTGATATTGCTGTCCTGATATAGAAAAAAACAATTATATCAGATTTTATGACAAGTGATTTCTATGGCCATAAGGTTTTGGGTCAAAACCCCTTTTAAAAATTAATTTAAAGTTTTAAAGGTTGTTTAACTTGCTGGAAAGTTAGTTTGAAATACCAGCTGCCACATCATTGCTTCTCCTGCAGCTCACAGAATTGTGTGTTGAAAAGGTTTCCAAGATAATCTACTGCAGTTTTACAGAAAATTACACAACTACCTCAGTACACAAAACTCTTTTGAAATGTTATGCAGTTTCTTTCTGTTTATTCCCAATATCTCTGACCACTTGTACTCACCTTGGAATGTGTTGATATAAATCTCCAAACATAATTACATAAACTGGGCCTGTAGGTTTACTGCACACTATACATTCAATATCTACATACAGGAGTAAAAATTCATGTTAAATGAACTGTATACAGTATACCCTAGAATATAAAGATCCCCTTGAAATATATGTTTATTCAAGACCATTGAAAACAACCGGATCCAAAAATAAAATAGGCAGAACCTACAGTAGTTATAGACACAAGATCCCTTAAGGGTGCCAGAGTGACATAACCGTATCATTAATTGGTGTGTCAGAGTTACAGAAACAGCAAAACACATAGATGATAATTTTGGGTTATTGTCTCTGCTTACCAACTAGATGGAGGAAGAGTCTGTTGTTACTGTATGCTGTCTAGAAAGAGAAACTGCTCTTATTTGATTAAAAAGAAGAGACACAACTGTTGCTGACTCTTAGTTAGAGAGAACTAACTCTTATGTTCGATAAAAGAATAACCAGCTGTTTTCTCTTGGCTAGTGAGAGAACCAGCTTCTATTTTCTCTTGGGTAGAGAGAACCAACTCTTATTGTTTTTGGTAAAGGGAGAACCAGCTGTTATCTCTTGGATTAGAGAACCAGCTGTTAATAGCTCTTGGCTAGAGGAAGAACTAACTGTTATTGTTGCTTGGTTAGAGGGAGTGGCAGCTGGTCCTGTTTCTTACAGGAAGACTAACAGCTGTTTCCTTGATTGAGGAAGAGGCAGGTATTGCTATTCCCCCAAATCATTTTGTTTAATTGAAAAGTATATTAATGCTGAAAGCAAAGAGCTTTTTATGACTAAGAAGATGAGTATATCTTTCTTTTGGCTTTCTACATTCTTAAGGATTTTTATTTCAATTTCTCCTCTTAGCACAAAACTGACGACTGTGGCTTGTTAACTGAGCTACTATGATGATGTGTATGAAAAAGGGATGTAAATATCACACAATCTTAGTTGTTGTATCCTTAACAATACAGTAACCTTTTTTGTTATTTTTGATATTGCAAAATATTTTATCCTTTTAGTGATTTTTACAAAACTAGTTACATATGGAGAGTGGTGGTATTCTGTATGGACTATCTCTAGAACATTACTAATGTTCTCAGAAATGTATTTGTCGCCAAGGATGAGGGCTTAACCCCAATGTTTGTTTGACACTATAAAATATATATATATATATATATATATATATATATATATATATATATATATATATATATATATATATATATATATATATATATATATATATATATATATATATATATATATATATATATAAATAAACAGCAACAAGGGGCAAAGCCACCTTTAATTAGTACAAAATAATTTCATTAATTTTTATTTTTATTTTCATTTCTAAAATACAAGCTGCTAGTGAGAATTTATTATTTTTTATCTCATGTGCAGTGCAGCCAAGTACGACCCCTTAATATATTTAGGGACCAAATGCTAAATAATTAAGCTTGCATTATTTGTTGAAGTCACTGGCATCTTCATGTTTTGGCAAAATACCCGAATCACATTACAGCTACAATTCTATCTAAGACCTACAAACCAAGATTATTGATTATCAATTAAGCAATTCTCCATCAAGACATAAGAACTTAAAAACAGTTTCATATGAGAAATAATAGCTAATGGAAATAGACCACCATGACTCCAGTCACCTCAATAATGAAAATTAACTGTTACAGTGCTTGCATGTGTATCTGTTATAGAGAAAAATTACTCTACCTTGCATGCCAGTTACCCATCCATGAATTACATTCATTAAACTATTACTGCCTGAGATCACTGCCTGTTAATTATGATATTTCCACCTCTCGAATGAGAAATTAGCTAGTGTGGTCGTGATGGGGGTAAGTGACCAGCCTGGCACTCATTACAAATGGGTCCTCTCCACAACAGCACAGTAAAATATCACACATCCTGACATATTTGGTGCAGCAGACTTGTAGCTTGATAATTTAGTCTATCGGCAATTAATTTTACTAAATGGGGCACACGAGAAATCTTAAAGATTTAACAATAAACACATTTATCCTTTACGTGAAGCGCGGTGAATCAAGACTTCCACGTAGCTTTAATGCATCATTATGATTCACTTTGCTCACTTAAGTCAATGAGCCCATAATTCTACATCAAATGCACATTAAAAGATTATGGTTTTCTCTGTGTTTTTATTAATTTTTTAAGCAAGATTGTATCTTCAGTAAAAGTAAAGACAAATTACAATCAGACACCTCCCATACCATTTGGTTTGTTTATAAATATCCTCCCATTATTGATATACCTACAAGAAAAAAAAAATATCGACTATATATAATCAATAAAAATTTTAAAATGTATCAGACTTACAGTTATTACAACTGTGAATTATTATCTATGATAGTAGTGTATGAGTCAGAGGTAAATGTTTACAGACAATATGTTTCTGCTTCAGAAAAATAAGAAGAAAGTTTAGGGAAAAAGATTGATTGCAGGAAGTGATATAATTACCTATGTACACAACTGCTCAATGACTACCTTTCAAAAGTCGTGGATATTGATGCCACTGTTTCCAATAACTAATGTACTGCCAGAAGTGGGTATTATTGCATTCTTTTTATGTATAATGATTTATGTCAAGTGACAGGTTAATCCTGCGAATCGCTGAAACAGATACTGTGTCACCTGTGGCATGGTGCTGGTTACTTAGCATCTGATGTACTTGGCTGCAGCAAACTCACCTACAAACTATTGCTAAGCAAACATTATCTGTATATCTTAATTCTTTAAATACAACAAATAATTTGCCACAAGAATTGTGTATTATTTACCCTTCATTAATACAGTAAGTAAGAGGTGTAGCAGTCGAGGGAGTCGGTGGTTAGATCCCCAGGCACTCCCAGTTCACCCAGTTGTAAATGGGTACCTAAGTTTACAACTTGGAGAAGTGAATGCTGTCGAGTGTAGTACCGAGTCACCGACTTTGCTGCCTCTTTAAGTACCAAAGGCTTAATATACACTGTGTTGTATCCACACTGTCCCTATTGGGCAGCCAAGCCTATGAGTCTCGCTTATACTTTTTCAATTCAGGAAGTACAGGAATAATAATAAATTTAAATTCTTGGCAAGGTTAATTGAGATATTGTATGACAGAAGAATAATGAAGTATTATACAAGAGATATACCCTCATGCCTTGAAATAAGTGAGAGGGCTAGTGTAAACTCCCTCCCAAGTACTGTAAATGACTATCTCCTAAGCCATGTTTATCATTAAATAAGACTGGGTTTAAAAATTACTTTCAGAAGTGTATGAAGTTTGGTAATCTAACTCAAAAGCACAATGATTGGCTAAGCAATGAGGTAAACTCATAAGTCATACATAATGATTTACGATTTTCCTCAAGATATTCTATGAATGGCAGAGAAACACTGATGATCTACTGATCTAGGCCACAGGAACCAGAGGGGTTGATGCAGTAATTTCCCCATTCACCGGAATCTTTGAAGTCATTTTTTTCTAAGTTCGAACTTACGACAATTAAAAAGATCGTAAGTTCGGATTCTCAAAAATTCGTAATTACTCTATTTTAAGGGAAAGTAGATTATCTACTTTTCGGGAAAGTAGATTATCGACTTTTCGGGGAAGTAGAATAATCGACTTTTTTGGGAAATATTACCTACTTTTAAGAAGTAGTTTATCATAGAAAACGGGAAATTCGTATCACAGAAAATGGTAAATATCTACTTTCCGGGAAAGTTGGTTATCTACTTTCCCGAAAAGTAGATTATCTACTTTTCGGGAAAGTAGATTATCGACTTTTCGCGGAAGTAGATTAATCGACTTTTTTGGGAAATATTACCTAATTTTCCGAAGTAGATTATCATAGAAAACGGGAAATTTGTATCATAGAAAATGGGAAATATCTACTTTCCGGGAAAGTTGGTTATCTACTTTCCCAAAAAGTAGATAGATTTTCTACTTTTCGGGAAAGTAGATTATCGACTTTTTGGAAGTAGATTTTCGAATTTTGGGTGAAATATTACCTAATTTTGCGAAGTAGATTATCATAGAAAACGGGAAATTTGTATCATAAAAAACGGGAAATATCTACTTTCCGGGAAAGTTGGTTATCTACTTTCCCGAAAAGTAGATAGATTTTCTACTTTTCGGGAAAGTAGATTATCGACTTTTCGGGGAAGTAGATTTTCGAGGGAAATATTACCTAATTTTGCGAAGTAGATTATCATAGAAAACGGGAAATTTGTATCATAAAAAACGGGAAATATCTACTTTCCGGGAAAGTTGGTTATCTACTTTCCCGAAAAGTAGATAGATTTTCTACTTTTCGGGAAAGTAGATTATCGACTTTTCGGGGAAGTAGATTTTCGAATTTTGGGGGAAATATTACCTAATTTTGCGAAGTAGATTATCATAGAAAACGGGAAATTTGTATCATAAAAAATGGGAAATATCTACCAGGAAGTTGATTGCTCTACTTCAGCCAGATAGAACACTACGGAAAAGTAGATTAATAAAACTAAGGGAAGTAGATTTTTCCGAACCACGGAAATATTACTGGTATTTTGCGAAGTAGATTATCATAGAAAACGAAATTTTGTAAAAAGTATTGGGAAATATCTACTTTTCCGGGAAAGTTGGTTATCTACTTTTCCCGAAAAGTAGATAGATTCTCACAGGGGAAAGTAGATACCATCGGCTTTGGAAATGGAATTTTTACAATTTTAGGGAAATATTACGTAATTTTGCGAAGTAGATTATCATAGAAAACGGGAAATTTGTATCATAAAAACTGGGAAATATCTACTTTCCGGGAAAGTTGGTTATCTACTTTCCCGAAAAGTAGATAGATTTTCTACTTTTTGGGAAAGTAGATTATCGACTTTTCGGGGAAGTAGATTTTCGAATTTTGGGGAAATATTACCTAATTTTGCGAAGTAGATTATCATAGAAAACGGAAATTTGTATCATAAAAAATGGGAAATTTCTACTTTCCGGGAAAGTTGGTTATCTACTTTTCCCATCTCAGATGGAAACCTTCTGCACTGCAGGGAAAGTAGTTATCGACTTTCGGGGGAAGTAGATTTTCGAATTTTGGAGAAATATTACCTAATTTTGCGAAGTAGATTATCATAGAAAACGGGAAATTTGTATCATAAAAAATGGGAAATATCTACTTTCCGGGAAAGTTGGTTATCTACTTCCCCGAAAAGTAGATAGATTTTCTACTTTTCGGGAAAGTAGATTATCGACTTTTTGGGAAAGTAGATTTTCGTATTTTCGGGGAAATATTGCCTAATTTTGGGAAGTAGATTATCGCGAAAACGGAAATTTGTATCATAAAAATGGGAAATATCACTTTCCGGGAAAGTTGGTTATCTACTTCCCAAAAATAACTCTACTTTTCGGGAAAGTAGATTATCGACTTTTGCGAGAGTAGATTTTCTAGAATTTTAGGGAAATATTACGTAATTTTGCGAAGTAGATTATCATAGAAAACAGAAATTTGTATCATAAAAATGGGGAAATATCTACTTTCACGGAGAATGATTATCTATTTCTGAAATCGTCGTCTACTTTTCGGGGAAGAAATTAGATTATCCCTTTTCGGGAAGTAGATTTTTCGAATTTTAGAAATATTGCATGGTACGGCAAATAGATTGCTCTAAACTTGGAAATTTGTATCATAAAAAACGGGAAATATCTACTTTCCGGGAAAGTTGGTTATCTACTTTCCCGAAAAGTAGACAGATTTTCTACTTTTCGGGAAAGTAGATTATCGACTTTTCGGGAAGTAGATTTTCGAATTTTGGGGGTAATATTACCTAATTTTGCGAAGTAGATTATCATAGAAAACGGGAAATTTGTATCATAAACAACGGGAAATATCTACTTTCCGGGAAAGTTGGTTATCTACTTTCCCGAAAAGTAGACAGATTTTCTACTTTTCGGGAAAGTAGATTATCGACTTTTCGGAAAGTAGATTTTCGAATTTTGGGGGAAATATTACCTAATTTTGCGAAGTAGATTATCATAGAAAACGGGAAATTTGTATCATAAAAAATGGGAAATATCTACTTTCCCGCGAAATCTATCGATAATCTACTTTTCGGGAAAAGTAGATAACCAACTTTCCCGGAAAGTAGATATTTCCCATTTTCTATGATACAAATTTCCCGTTTTCTATGATAATCTACTTCGGAAAATTAGGTAATATTTCCCAAAAAAGTCGATTAATCTACTTCCGCGAAAAGTCGATAATCTACTTTCCCGAAAAGTAGATAATCTACTTTTCGGGAAAGTAGATAACCAACTTTCCCGGAAAGTAGATATTTCCCATTTTCTGTGATACGAATTTCCCGTTTTCTATGATAAACTACTTCTTAAAAGTAGGTAATATTTCCCAAAAAAGTCGATTATTCTACTTCCCCGAAAAGTCGATAATCTACTTTCCCGAAAAGTAGATAATCTACTTTTCGAGAAAGTAGATAACCAACTTTCCCGGAAAGTAGATATTTCCCATTTTCTATGATACAAATTTCCCGTTTTCTATGATAATCTACTTCGCAAAATTAGGTAATATTTCCCAAAAAGTCGATTAATCTACTTCCCCGAAAAGTCGATAATCTACTTTCCCGAAAAGTAGATTATCTACTTTTCGGGAAAGTAGATAACCAACTTTCCCGGAAAGTAGATATTTCCCATTTTCTATGATACAAATTTCCCGTTTTCTATGATAATCTACTTCGGAAAATTAGGTAATATTTCCCAAAAAGTCGATTAATCTACTTCCCCGAAAAGTCGATAATCTACTTTCCCGAAAAGTAGATAATCTACTTTTCGGGAAAGTAGATAACCAACTTTCCCGGAAAGTAGATATTTCCCATTTTCTATGATACAAATTTCCCGTTTTCTATGATAAACTACTTCTTAAAAGTAGGTAATATTTCCCAAAAAAGTCGATTATTCTACTTCCCCGAAAAGTCGATAATCTACTTTCCCGAAAAGTAGATAATCTACTTTTCGGGAAAGTAGATAACCAACTTTCCCGGAAAGTAGATATTTCCCATTTTCTGTGATACAAATTTCCCGTTTTCTATGATAAACTACTTCTTAAAAGTAGGTAATATTTTACCAAAAAGTCGATAATCTACTTTCCCGAAAATTCAATAATCTACTTTCCCAAAAAGTAGATAGGGCCTAATCTACTTTTCGGGAAAGTAGATAACCAACTTTCCCGGAAAGTTGATATTTCCCATTTTCTGTGATACAAATTTCCCGTTTTCTATGATAAACTACTTCTTAAAAGTAGGTAATATTTTACCAAAAAGTCGATAATCTACTTTCCCAAAAAGTAGATACTTACGATCTTTTGAGAATCCGAATTTACGATCTTTTTAATTGTCGTAAGTTCGAACTTAGAGCAAAAAATAACTTTTGATTTTTTTAATTCTCAAAAGATCGTAAGTATCCACTTTTAAGTTCTTTTTTCTCTTAAGTTCGAGCTTACAACCATTAAAAAGATCGTAAATTCGGATTCTCAAAAGATCGTAAGTATCTACTGTTCGGTGACGTAGATTTTCTACTTTTCGGGAAGTATAATAATTGGCTCTTTTCATTTTTGCCTTTGGAACCCTTTTTTCAACTTTTTTATTAGGATTATTATAAACAAATAAAAAGAATTTTTTTTTCATTTATACGACACATTAAATTCCTCTTACAAATATTTATTGTAATGATTGACACCAGGTTACTGCTAGGTTAGGTTGCCCTTATGGTACTACAACCTGTGTACACAGGGTCCCAAAAAGGCGACCCAACCTGGATCATGCAAGGCCACCAGTGTACCTTGGTCGATGTGTCTCGCCTAACTCTATAGTAGGGGGCTCAGACAAGCCTCAGCACCCAGCCCTTGGCAGCATCACTGTCCCTAGCAGTGACAGACAGCCTTTAGTGTCATCACATAGCCCTTACTAGCTAGCTACTTATAAGCCCCCTAGAAGCATCATGTAGATCTTAGGGGAGATTCAATCAGCCTCCCCAGAGACACAGATAGCTCTTAAGAGCCTCACACATCCCCAAGTTGCCATAAACATCACATATCCCCTAACAACACTGACTTGAAAATAATTTTTAACATGTATAACATTTGAAAACAAAAAATACAATTACAAAAGTTTATCCAGAAGAAAAATTCATTGGTTACAAAGCAAGTTGTGAACACGTAAAATATAAATTACTGATAATTAAGGTAAATTGCTAAACTGTTGCTATACAAAGTTCTCAAATTATAGCTGTACTCGTTCTACTTTGATTCTGTGTTTCTCACATCACACAATACTTACTGATATGCTCTAAATCAGAGAAGTTAACCAATATTAAATTAAATAGTTAAATTGGGGACTTGAGTGAAATTTGAGGTAATATTTGGGGCTACAGGGAATGTTGGTGGTAGAGTGACAGCATACCTCTCACAACTGTGTCCCAGGTTCATTCCAGAGCCCGGGTCAGATGTGAGAAGGGTGTGTTATCAAGTGTGACCCTACCAAATATCACAAGTCTTCTCTGTGTACTTTGGTTTCCTCTTATACTCTTACTGAACAATGAAGGTTGAGACAAAGAACAAATCGACCACCTTAACTGCTAGTATGGTGACGATAAGCAATAGAAATAATATGGAACAACCCTACTTTAGTATAAGGTTCACTCACTCCAAAAAGTATCTTTATGGAGGGGTCTGATTTTCAAAATGAACACTAAGTCTCCTGTTGTCTCGGCACAGTTGTCAAAATCATTCGTCAATTGTGTCAATTATTTAACACAAAATCACGAAGATATTTTTAGGGGTGAATGTACCTTATTTACAAGCCAGTTGATATCTACATTCTACAGGATTGGGCAGGATATACTGTAGTCACATTCATCAACAGGATATACTGTAGTCACATTCATCAGCTATACCACGAGTCATACCCATACATTCTCATACACTACAATACAAGTATATACAGTATTGTATGGTGATATTCACAAATACTATATACTTACCAGTAGTCTTTAAAAAAACATATAATAAGATATAGGATAAAAAAAATGGGTTAGTAAAAGTTTTATTACACGACTGCCAACAAGACCAAATCCCAACTTTATGAAGACGAATTTTTTTTTTTAATTCAGCAGCAGCAAAAAATCTTCAGACATTTCCCTAATATATGAAAATATGCTTAGTTCCTAATTCTTACTATGACAAGAGTAACAGAGGCACATACAGTACAGTACAACTAAAAATAAGTCTATACTCTGTACCACTACAAGCAATGATGCATAATTTTGCCAAGTCGAAATTAAGGGAACATTCTACACTTAATTGGATGAAAGATACAAAGTTCTATTCGTATAAAAGGAATGAAGGAAGTGAATGATAAAGTGTGAGTAAATGTAGAAGTAGAATGATAAAGTGTGAGTAAATGTTGTAGTAGAATGATAAAGTGTGAGTAAATGTAGTAGTAGAATGATAAAGTGTGAGTAAATGTTGTAGTAGAATGATAAAGCACAACGTGTGGCAGTTGGGACGGAAAAGACAGGGGAGGGGATGATATTTACAATGGCATGCCTAACCTTACCTCACCGAAAAAAACAAACATAATCTAATCTCACTCAGTAGACTATGCAAAAATCGCTTATATGCACGATTCGATTGTGAGGTAATTAGTGGTTGTAATGAAGCTTGGACAATTTAATGACATTATTCAAAGCTTATTACTCGCCAACTATAGGTTCAGAAAGTGCGATTTTGTTGTTAATGTGTTATGCTGTGAGGACTTAATTAATTAAACCCATTACATTTCAATTCTGAGAGAAAAGTTAATTTTAACCAAAAAACTACTCAGTTTTGGCCCTAAATTTGATTTTTTGAAAATCACTTTATAGGTACTCCAGAGCATGCCGATTTTGAACACTGTATATGGTCCCAGGGACGGCGGCGCCCCTAGGGGCTCTACCAGAGGCTGCTGCGCCCCCAGGGGCCCTGCCAGGGGCTGTAGCGCCCCCAGGGGACCTCTCAGGTGCAGTGGAGCTGCCAGGGTACCTCGCAGGAGCAGCAGCGCTCCCGGGGACGGCAGCGCCCCCAAGGGACCTTCCAGGGGTGGCGGAGGCCCTAGAAGGGGCGGAGGCGACCCCCGGAGCCCTCTCGGGGGCTGCAGCGTCCCCAGGGTCGGTGGTGCCACCAGGGTTCCTCCCAGGTTGAAACCTACTTAAAATAAAGTGGTGTTATTGCGACCCTGACTTTACATTGGCATGACCCCACAATTACCAAGGTGTAAGGCTTACATTTTCAACAGTGGAACAGAGAAGATGAAGGGAAGGTGTGGAACAGAGATGATGAAGGGAAGGTGTGGAACAGAGAAGATGAAGGGAAGGTGTGGAACAGAGAAGATGAAGGGAAGGTGTGGAACAGAGAAGATGAAGGGAAGGTGTGGAACAGAGAAGATGAAGGGGAGGTGTGGAACAGAGATGATGAAAGGGAGGTATGGAACAGTACTGGTATATGTTCAATGCAACTGTAGTACAACAGTATTAAGGTGGAGTAATAATGTCTTAAGGGGGATGGAAGGAGCTGAAATCAAATTGGGTGTTAGAAAGATATGTTTAAAGAGAGGACAGGTACATGTTAAGAGGAGGCGAGACAGCATCAGGATCTTGGGTTTTATTAGGATGATATAAACTGGAGGGCAGAAAACACATGGCAGGTATAAAATTCGGGTGGCTGTATGGTGTGGGAATAACTGTAGCAAGTTGAGACTGAGGACCATTACTGGGATAAAAGCTTGAATTTTAAACAAACACGTAACCTAGATGATAAAGCTTGAGCTGTAGTAAGGATGATAAGAAGACAAGAAAGGCGAATAGTAATTACTAAAAAGACGAATATGAGGATAGTGTTTGAAGAGTTTTACCTAAACATTTATAAAAACTATGTATCTTTTATCCAATTCTCATTAATTATTTTCATATTTAAAAGCAAGGCATATTTTGAGGAATGGTTCAGCTGCTGTAGTGAAGAATAAAAGAACCACATGAAGATTAGCTGCTCTTTGTTACAATGTTATTACTTTACTTCAACAACGATGGTCTTTAAGGGTGCAAGAAGGTTAGTAAATACAATGTTCTAACATTTAAAAAACTATGAGATACAACTCTCTAGTCCCTCCAGCTTATTTCACCTGATGATTAAACATATAAAGCTACCTGAGGGCGGGGGGTGTGAATCATCAGGCGAGCCAAAGGAAGTACGTATATACTTACCCTATTCCTAAACTCAAGCATATAAAGAAATAATACTTGCCATAGACACAAGGAGGTTTGACTTCCCAGCCGTCAAAGGTACACTCGATGGTGAGGAAGAGGTTGCCGTCACTGAGGTAGCCACTAATGCAAGTGCCGCTCACTATAGCGCCAACCTTCCACTCTCTAGAATACCAGCTCGTCACAGCCATCTCAACTAGTGGCTCCCCATAACACTCTGAAAATATAAACAACTGCTACAAACAATATACAAACAAGTGTGACAGTTACATGAGTGTAAACAACAGAGGGACAGATATACAGTATGAATAAATATACACAAGAAACTAACAGGTGCATGAATGTGTCAACAAAGTGGCAGCAGATATGCTCAGCCAAATCGCACCATTAAAGGTGGCGGCACACTGGTCACTTTGCTCCAAATATGATGCCCGTTTTGCTGGCTCCTGGCCTGATGGCCTAGCAAGCAGCGGGATTTCTGCTGTTGCTAGAAATGGACAATGGTTTGGCGGTGAGTTTGGCTGGCAGGGTTAGTGGTCAAATGAGCTTCATATTAGGTGTTGAATGTTCAAGTAAATATTGAAATAAATCATGAAACAATAATAATTTAAAATATAACTCCTAAAACTGACATATTTCTATTTATTCATCACTTTAAAACTTTTAGTTTTATTAAATCATTATTCAGGGTCTTCTTTGACCAGCCAGCTGCCGCCACTTTTAAAGAAACTTCCTGATGCTCCCATTGTCTTTTCTTTAGCTTATCCACACGCCTCACTTGCTTCAGCAATTGAAGAACTATAGCACATTCCTGTAAGGCATCAACTGTAGTAAGGGGACCCATGGTGAACCTCGTCTAGACGCTTTGTTTTTGTTTTCATTGCGTAGGGTAGAGGAGTCAACAAAACATCCCAGTGTGATGCAAACACCTCTGTTTTGCTGGCTGGACCAAGTTTGCCAAATATGTTGGTTGGAAAAGTGTCCAGAGTGCCGCTGCCTTAAGGCTTTCTACCTCCAGGCAACATCAGAATTAAAGGCACAAGTAGACATCAGGATATTTCGGGAAATCAAGAACCAAGCAGACTGTGAAGAGCTGCAGAAGGACCTCTGTGGGCTCCAAGAATGATCGAAGAAATGGCTGCTGAGATTCAATGTCACGAAGTGTAAGAGGATGCACCTGGGGAGTACTGTGAGGTTTCGTGATGTTGAATCGCACATAGGATGAAGGTGAGAAGGGAACTTAACTATGGCATTTTCTCTATACAAATATATTATATACAAAACAGTCTGGTGCTGGGAAGTTGGTGCGCGGTAGAGGAGTTGCTGTGCCGGAGCTTCTTTAGAGGAGGTGTTGTGTGTTACAGGGCTCTTGGTAGAATCGACTTCACGGCGAGGCTGTGAGCTTGTATACACGTCCACCGGAAGTAAGCGTCGCTGAAGGACGACCCCGCGAGTCTAGACAGCTAGGCTTGTCAGAGAAACTTCGTCGCGGGATCGGCTGATCAGTGACTAATGGCAGTGGCAGTTGTAGGGGAGAGTATCCACTACAGTACCAACGGTAAGGAGGCGTATCATATGCCCCAACGGGATGAAGAAACTGCATTATTTGAGACAATGTGAGAAGGACCCAAGTGTGTATGTTGACAATGACCTGAAGGTAAATCAGGCAAATAAATTATTGGGTCTTATAAGAAGGTCGTTCAGATATCTAGACGGTCCGTCCCTCTTAACGATCTTCAAGAGTGAAGTCCCCGAGATATGCTAGGGACTGTCAGTTAGTTGAAAATGTTCAAAGGAGGGCCACCAGACTGGTGCCTGCACTTCGGCACCTCAGCTACCCTGAGAGATTGGGGCGCCTGAACTTGCCTAGCTTATACTACAGACAGGCAAGGGGTGACCTAATAGAGGTGTATAAGCATCTCAAGGGGGCACTACTCAGTCGAGTGTCCTTACTTGGAGCTGGCGGATGCTTGCCCCACAAGGGGTCACAGCACAAGATTGAAGAAGCCGCAAATACAGAAAACTGTGAGGGCAAACTTTTTCGGAATGAGACTTGTGAACTCTTGGAACAATCTACTAGAAAGTGTTGTGATGGCACTGAGTGTGAGCTCTTTCAAAACAAGACTTGACCAACACTGGAGCAGGTTCAGTACATCCAGGAGCCGGTGCATGCCCAGTACTAGCCAACAGTGTGTAACAGAGACGTGACCGATCGCACCAAGTGGCTAACGAGCCGATCAGTGGTGAAGAGGATAAAAAAAAATCGGATATGAGAGTTGAGGAAGGTAGATATGTGGACTCAGATCAGGACAAGGTAAGGTATAAACAAGTGTGACATCTGTATGGAAGTGAGTTGTGTACAAATGTGACAGCTGTATGGAAGTGATACAGCTGTATTGTAGTAAGTACTGTAAGAGTGTGACAGCTGTATGGCAGTACTCTACAAGTGGGACAGTTATTTGGGATAAGTAAAAAAAAACACGAGTATGACCACACCAAATTGATACTCCAAGGGACGGGCCCAGATCTTGACGCTCTTGAGAGGAGTGTCGCCCCAGACTGGTGTAGATGACGTCAGGAAGGCCTGTCAAGAGAAGTACAGAATTAGTGGGAAATATCACTGCAACCACAATGACTGCTGATTACTGGCACAAAATAGCTGTTGTAGGAACACCTGGTTAAAATTAATTTGTTTGTGCATTTTACATAAAAGTTTAATAAATTATATACAGGTATATTCACTTCATAAAGCTGCCTGCCTCTGGTGTATTCTGCCAACCAAAACCCCTTCCACACGCCCAGGGGCAGATCCAGGAATATAAAAAAGGGGGGAGGGTCAAGAAGTTGTGGGTGGGGAAAATGGTGAGCACAGCGAGCCCACCCAGCTGGGGGAGGTAGTATAAGCCCCTCCCCCAGAATTTTTGGAAAATCTGACCAATATCATGGGCATTTTGAGGCCATTTTGATGACATGCGCACTTGATATTAGGAGATATTCTGAAGTCAATAGTAATTACTTTTTACAATACAAAAACGCCTGAGTATAATACTGTATTAAAGAAAAAGTATTGAAATATTCTGGTGAAAAGAGGGGGGGGGGGTCCGGACCACCCCTGGATCTGCCCTTAATGCCAGCACATTTACACAAATAAATGTTGACAGGCCTTAGACATCCCATTGTGAGCCAGCCAGATGAAGAACAGTAGTGCTATAACTCACGGCCTCACAGCTGCTCGGGTCACTGCACCACCAACATGGGTCGTTGCTTCCCTCATCACGACCGTCGGGACAGAAACTCTCTCCTTCACTCCCCATTAACGACTCACCTGCAATGGTTACATTTTCTGAAGTACAAGACACAAAGATTTGTACATTTCCTCAATAATCTTTACGACACTTTGTAATTAATTTTCCAGAATCCTCCTTAATAACTTACTAGCGTTACCAGTACATTCTCCAGCACTCTTCAGGATGTGTGTGTCACGGGTAATGACCACAGGACTACAGATTGAGACAGTCACCTCGTCATTCTCCTCCACCATCACAAACTGGGGATATACATGTAGCATCAGTGGTGGTATAAATTACCTTTACAATACCATTTAAACACACTAGTTTCCACTTCCCAGAAAAAGTCTTTTGTCATGTAAAAGACGCCTCACCTTGCATTTCATCATATCAAAAAACAAATATTGTTGAAATTTCATAGAAAAGTACAGGAATCCTTTATATGCTGGATACAATTCGAGGAGTTAGTGTTAATTAAACTGTAATTAAACTTTACTAATCTTGCTGACTTATGACTTTACTGACCATGAATGTTACTAACTTTGCCAACCACTGTACTGACCTTCAGCTCAAGAGGCATCTCACTGCCGTCCTCTTTATAGTTCAAGTCTTCAAGGATCAGAAGACCTGCGGCATAAACAGACATCATATATTATCATTCATCAAGGATCACCTGAAGATTAGGCACCCTCGCTTATTTCACACACACGATGATCAAATACCCTCAAATGCTAACCTAACCTAACCTAACCTGACCTGACCTGACCTAGCCTCGCCCCTCCCGGTAGTTTAATCTATAATGAGCGAGAGTTCACATACACACCAATTTGGTTTACTTCTGACTGCAAAAACATGTATAAAATATTCAAGAAAATACACACATTTATGTCAATTCTCTCTCTCTCTCTCTCTCTCTCTCTCTCTCTCTCTCTCTCTCTCTCTCTTTCTTTCTTTTATCAAGGGAGGAATGATAAACAAAGATGGCTTGAGAAAATGATATTGGAAGGTAATTTTTCATCAACTTGCCCGGGGTGCTGTCGATTACATTACTTTGCTTAATGACCGATAATTAGTAAACAGACTCCTTCTCTCTATTGACAACTTCTCTGCCATCTTTGTTAATTTGTTATAATTCTCTCACCTGAAATAAAAGAGACAAACATACAGAGATATATAGAGAGGGACCAATATTAATTTTCCTCCATATGGTACACAGCCTTTGAGATGCCCTACAGAGAGAGAGACTCGCCCAACAGTACTACTTTGCCACTGACCCACGAAATAGCTGTAGCTGTCGTTTTTAGGCAAGTTGTAACCTTGAGTGTATTGACTAAGTGTCAGGTGGAGATCTTCAGACTGGCTCTTGTGTCCCAATATATAAGTCCAGCCTCCATCTTCATCCCCCACTACCTGGCCCAGGTCGCACGTCACCTGAAATCATAAGAGAATGAGTAAATCACATGAAGACTAGACACCCAAATTGCTTTCTCACGGGGTCCATTTTACCTAACTTTCTACGATACTGTACTTTCTCTCTTGTCATAAACTTTGTCCCTGCCAGGATAAACTTACCCCCTCATGACAAACTTATGCGAGTTTCATTTACAAATTGTCAATCATGTTATTGTTAATCTTTCCATCAACATTTTCAAACTGACAATACTAATACTTAAAATAAATAGAATTCCATCCAAGACTATCATACAACTAAGTAATTAATATCGTGATTCGGTCAGTAAAACGTCAGCTTATTGAGCAAGAAACTATTACAGGGTATCAGTAAGATATACCATAAAGTAAGTAGGGTAATCTTTGATAACCTTAGGATGAGAGACCGTAACTGGACAGCTAAGAGGGTATTTGGAAATCCAATATATAATGCCCAGTTCTCCGACACAGGCATGGAACAAGACTGTAAAAATAATGATGATGAATCTGCCGTCTAAGTCCAGTTTATGTACATTGAGGTGATGCTTCAGTATTTCTTCTCACAACTGAATATTCTTTTATAAAATATTGAATTACTGTATAAAATGTGATAGATTTCTCAACGTCGTGGCAAGGCTCCCTCGGCAGCCAATCAGCGAGGCTCCCTCGGCAGCCAATCAGCGAGGCTCCCTCGGCAGCCAATCAGCGAGGCTCCCTCGGCAGCCAATCAGCGAGGCTCCCTCGGCAGCCAATCAGCGAGGCTCCCTCGGCAGCCAATCAGCGCGGCTCCCTCGGCAGCCAATCAGCGCGGCTCCCTCGGCAGCCAATCAGCGCGGCTCCCTCGGCAGCCAATCAGCGCGGCTCCCTCGGCAGCCAATCAGCGAGGCTCCCTCGGCAGCCAATCAGCGAGGCTCCCTCGGCAGCCAATCAGCGAGGCCCCTCGGCAGCCAATCAGCGAGGCTCCCTCGGCAGCCAATCAGCGAGGCTCCCTCGGCAGCCAATCAGCGAGGCTCCCTCAGGCAGCCAATCAGCGAGGCAGCCAATCAGCGAGGCTCCCTCGGCAGCCAATCAGCGAGGCTCCTCTCAGCGCAGGCCTCGGCAGCCAATCAGCGGGGCTCCCTCAGCACCAATCAGCGAGGCTCCCTCAGCAGCCAATCAGCGAGGCCAATCAGCATTCCTCAGCAGCCCAGCGAGGCTCCTCAGCAGCCAATCAGCGAGGCTCCCTCAGCAGCCAATCAGCGAGGCTCCCTCAGCAGCCAATCAGCAGCCAATCAGCGAGCTGCCTCAGCAGCCAATCAGCGAGGCTCCTCGGCAGCAATCAAAGCAGAGCTCCCTCAGCAGCCTCAGCAGCCAATCAGCGAGGCTCCCTCAGCAGCCCAATGCGGAAACGCCCTCGAAAGCAGCCAGCTCCTGGCAGCCAATCAGGCTCCTCAGCAGCCAATCCCTCAGCAGCCAATCAGCGGGGAAACCCTCAGCAGCAATCAGCGGAAGCTCCCTCAGCAGCCAATCATGAAATCCCTCAACAACCAATCAGCAAGGCTCCCCAACAGGCTCCCAAGGCAACAGCCAATCAGCGAGGCTCCTCCAGCAGCCAATCAGCGAGGCTCCCTCAGCAGCCAATCAGCGAGCTCCCTCAGCAGCCAATCAGCGAGGCTCCTCAGCAGCCAATCAGCGGCAGGCTCCCTCAGCAACCAATCAGCAGAGGCTCCCTCAACAACCAATCCAGCAAGGCTCCACAATCAGCAACCAATCAGCAAGGAAGGCTCCCTCACTCCCTCAACAACCAATCAGCAAGGCTCCCTCAACAACCAATCAGCAAGGCTCCCTCAACAACCAATCAGCAAGGCTCCCTCAACAACCAATCCACAAGGCTCCCTCAACAACCAATCAACAAGGCTCCCTCAACAACCAATCAACAAGGCTCCCTCAACAACCAATCAACAAGGCTCCCTCAACAACCAATCAACAAGGCTCCCTCAACAACCAATCAACAAGGCTCCCTCAACAACCAATCATCAGCTACGAATTGTAATGGTTCCCAGGTACATTTAGTCAGCTTGTTAACACTAATCTGAGTACCTAGATGAGATTAATTCTGGTTTAAATGAGGAAAATAAGGGTGAAACCATGAGGGTGAACATGTGAGGAATAATTATCATATCACAAGTAATTTTTCCCCATCTAAGTCTTCGTTTAGATACACTGTCAGTATGGACGGACACCTTTCACCAAATAATAACAACAACAATAAAATAATAATAATAATAATAATAATAATAATAATAATAATAATAATAATAATAATAATAATAATAATAATAATAATAGGTTCGTTCGCCTATTCGCCTTGGTTCAATTAATTTACTGTTGGTCATTGTTTGTATAGCCTACAAGTACAGTGTGTGTATTTACATTGTATATAAGTACTGTCTGTATTATGCCGGGTCAATTTAGCTTTCTATGATAAATTTCCTGAATATCAATCTATCTATATATCTATCTATCTGAATAAATATCAATGTCATCCATCTATATACCACGTCCAATGCCACAACTGTGTACTAAATATTAGCATTCAATCCATCAACCTACCTCACACACAAAGAATAAAAAAAAAATTAAAAAACGTGAAATATTCCCCACTCGTGTCATGGGCATAACACGAGTGGGGAAAAGCGTTAAAAATTGCCTGAGAGACTGTCAATAAATATTAAACTTAATTAAAATCCATTGCACGCACACGCACACACACACACACACACACACACGCATATACACTACACTGCTCGCCTCACAAGGGGGTGGACCCGGGTTCGATCCTCGGGCAGGGTGAAACTAAGGGCAAGTTTCTTTACGCTATTTGCCTCTGTCTACCCAGTAATAATTGGGGACCTGGATGTTAATTGATTTGTGGATTGTGTTCCGGGGTAATGGTTAGCCAGTGCAGTTGGTGAATTGTCCGGTCTTCTCGGACTATTCCTTGACACTGGGTCATGCAACTCGTTAACTCAGGGTGTGGTTGTTGTGTTGGCGACAGCTTCTAAACCTTAAACAAACTCACGCCTAGGTGGCCCTTGGACCAGCCATCCCCGTTTCTTCATAAGTGCGTGTGTGCACCACTTAACTCTCTTCCAAACTCCACACAATAAATATATACAATAATGCCAAAAAATATATATAATATAGTCGAGAAAGAAAACCTTGAACTACTCCACGATAAAACACAGTACAAGTACACACACCGAGAACGGGGAAAAAATTTAATACTGTAATGGGCTTGCAGTACACACACGCACACACACACACGCACACACACATTAAGTAGCACCCTTTAATCAAAATTTCTTCAGTATAAAAGCTGCAATCATCGAGGTTCACTGAAATTTGTACTTTCGGAAACAAGCCTCTACAAGTACCGATATATTACGAGAATTGGAAGTCTAAATAATAATAATAATAATAATAATAATAATAATAATAATAATAACAACAACAACAACAACAACAACAACAGAATGGCACCAATGGCTCTGACTCACAATTACAATGGCACCAATGGCTCTGACTCAGTTATAATGGCACCAATGGCTCTGACTCAGTTATGATGGCACCAATGGCTCTGACTCAGTTATGATGGCACCAATGGCTCTGACTCAGTTATAATGGCACCAATGGCTCTGACTCAGTTATGATGGCACCAATGGCTCTGACTCAGTTATGATGGCACCAATGGGTTTGACTTCACAGTTATAGTGGTGGTGCTGGGCTTAATGGTGTACCTCTGTCAGCAGAGGCCCAGGGCAGCTATCTCGAGCAGTTCCTCGGTGGATCACAGCCTGGAGGAGGAAGAGGGAAGGAGGGGGGAAGAGGGGAGGAGGGGGAAGTGGGAGGAGGAAGAGGAAGGGGAGAGAAGAGGGCGTAGGGGAAGAGGGCGGAGGGGGAAGAATGAAGAAGAAGTGTGGAAGAGGAGATGTAGCGAGGAGAAAGAAAAAGAAGGAGAAAGGAAAGAAAAAGAAGGAGAAAGGAAAGAAAAAGAGAGAGAGAATCAGATTAGATTTGGGCAGGTTAGATTAGGTTAGGGTGGTTAATCTTCAGGTGACATCAACAAGGATCACATTCAATAACTTCTATTAAAACAAAGTATCTTATCAGTCCTTAATATAACCACAATACAGTTATTTCCCTCAGGCAGGTGTCACCAAGCAAACTTACATTCAATACAGATATCTGAAGGAGAGGCCCACACTCCTCCCTTGCACTGCGCTAAGACACCATGCATCCCCGACAAGGTCATCCAGCCAGCCTCACACTGATAGTACACCGCAAAGACGTAGGCAGACCCCAACGTCAGATTCTTGGTGAACCCGGCGTGGTCCAGCGGTCGAGGAGGGTAGATGCAGTTCTCCGTGTCACTGTTCACTAGTGGCACACAAATAGTATATGAATTTTGGTGTTATGGGGGTGTGAGGATAATTGTTGTTGTTATGGGGGTGTGAAGATAATTGTTGTTGTTATGGGGGGTGTGAAGATAATTGTTGTTATGGGGGGTGTGAAGATAATTGTTGTTGTTATGGGGGTGTGAAGATAATTGTTGTTGTTATGGGGGTGTGAAGATAATTGTTGTTGTTATGGGGGGTGTGAAGATAATTGTTGTTGTTATGGGGGTGTGAGGATAATTGTTGTTGTTATTGGGGTGTGAAGATAATTGTTGTTGTTATGGGGGTGTGAAGATAATTGTTGTTGTTATGGGGATGTGTAGATAGAAACATTGGTAATTTATAGTTTTAGGTTTCTTTTGGCGGCTGGTGGGGCAGTGGGTGTGATGATGGTATTAATTCGTCTATGGAAACAATACTACTTAGATCACATGAGGATTAGCCCCCAACCCTCCCAACTTGTGGAAAGAATGATTGAGACTACAGAGACAATATTTATGGCCAGGCAAATATGAGAAAAATATCTAAGGAAGGAGAGACAGTTGAATTTCATATTTGTCAACTCAGAAAAGGCATTCAGAGCTAGGTGGATCGGTAGTGACAGCACTGTATTGGCGAAGTTTTGCATAGAGGAAAGGAGAGATGGTTTTGGCATGTGGGGAGAATGCTCTAATGTCTGTAGAGGGGAGGAGAACCAAGGACAAGGCAATTATGACATCCAGAAACGTTATACAAAATGATATTAGAGTTAAGATCCTGATTAGCATGGAGAGCTGCCACCAGATAACTGCAGCTTACCTACACAAGTGTGAAAAATGGCCATAAAAACATTCAAGATTAAATACCTTATTGATATCCAGGGGTTGCTACTAATAACCTACAAGACCATTAAGGTACAACAAGTATTTCACAAGACTACGAGGATTCTACAACTCACAAAAATGTCGACTACAGACACAAGCAATGCCGAGGCCTCCTGACAGAGTTAACTTACGTATGCAAGATCCAGGGTCCTCCCAGTTGGGGTCATCAGGATAAGTGAGGATAACGGGGAACCCAGATGCCCAGATGTGTGTGGGGTCATCGCATATCCACACCCACGCTCCATCTGCTACCTCAATCAGCGATGCTCCTGGCACTGAGGACAGACTTCCAGCAGTGGAGCTTCCCATAATGGTGGTAGAGGCTTCTGGAATGGTTGTGGTAGGTACCTTTGTGCTGGTTGTGGTAGGAATCTGTGTAGTAGTGGGTGATTTTGTGGTGGTGGGTTCTTTTGTGGTGGTGGTGGGTTCTTTTGTGGTGGTGGTGGGTTCTTTTGTGGTGGTGGTGGGTTCTTTTGTGGTGGTGGTGGGTTCTTTTGTGGTGGTGGTGGGTTCTTTTGTGGTGTGGTGGGTTCTTTTGTGGTAGTGGTGGGTTCTTTTGTGGTAGTGGTGGGTTCTTTTGTGGTAGTAATAGTAGTAGTTGTGGGGGTGGTGGTAGTAGCAGGTGTTTTTTTGGTAGTGATGGCAGGTTTGGCAGTCGTCATTTCAGCTGTAGGGAATACAGGAATATAATCAATCATTACATACGGACACTAACATTCTAACACAGGCACCAACATTCTAACAAACACTAACATTCTAACACAAGCACCAACATTCTAACAAAGGCACCAACATTCTAACAGACACAAACATTCTAACACAGGCACCAACATTCTTGGATAAAATCATGGCTCACCGATAGAACGCAGAGGGTCAGCGTAGATGGTGTTAAATCTGATTGGGCCGTGTAACCAGTGGGGTTCCCCAGGGGTCAGTACTAGGCCCACTCTTGTTCATAATGTACATAAACGATCTAGATACTGGGATCAGCAGTGACATAAGCAAGTTTGCGGATGACACCAAAATAGGGCGGCAGATTAATTCAGGGCAGGATGCAAATGCATTACAGGAGGATCTAAATAAACTGCAGGGGTGGTCTGAAAAATGACAAATGAAATTCAACACCAGCAAGTGCAGCGTACATGTACTTAATATTGGAAGAACAAATACTGACAATGTATACAGCCTTAACAACATCAACCTAGAGAAGTCGACTTGTGAAAGAGACCTAGGGGTACTTGTAAGCCCGGACCTACGGCCTAGAAAACAGCGCGTTAATGTTCGAAATAAGGAAAACAGAGTATTGGGTTTTATATCTAGAAGGGTAAGTAATAAGAGTGCAGAGGTCTTATTGCAACTATATCTTGCGCTAGTCAGGCCGCACCTCGAGTATGCGGTTCAGTTCTGGTGCCCTTATTATAGAATGGATATCAATTCACTAGAGTCGGTGCAGCGAAGAATGACGAAAATGATTCCGGGACTTAGAAACCTTCCATATCAGGATAGGTTAAAGAAACTTAACTTGCATTCCCTAGAAAAACGAAGAGTGCGGGGAGGTATGATAGAAGTATTTAAGTGGGTGAAAGGAATCAATAAAGGGGATATAGATAAAGTTCTTATAATATCCGAGCAGGATAGGACTCGGAGCAACGGATTCAAGTTGGATAAGTTTAGGTTTAGGAGGGAGATAGGAAGGAACTGGTTCACAAATAGGGTGGTGGACGAGTGGAACAAGCTTAGCAACTTTGTAGTAAGTGCTGGAACTCTGGAAAGTTTCAAAAGGCGGCTAGATAGATGCATCCCTCTCACTCCATCAGGCATCCCTCTCACTCCATCAGGCATCTCTCTCACTCCATCAGGCATCCCTCTCACTCCATCAGGCATCCCTCTCACTCCATCAGGCATCTCTCTCACTCCATCAGGCATCCCTCTCACTCCATCAGGCATCCCTCTCACTCCATCAGGCATCTCTCTCCCTCCATCAGCATCCTCTCCCCATCAGGCATCCTCTCACTCCATCAGGCATCCTCTCACTCCATCAGGCATCTCTCTCACTCCATCAGGCATCCCTCTCACTCCATCAGGCATCCCTCTCACTCCATCAGGCATCTCTCTCACTCCATCAGGCATCCCTCTCACTCCATCAGGCATCCCTCTCACTCCATTTGACATTCCACCTTAACACCCCATCTACTCACTCTTAGTTGCTGCTCTGCCGCAGGTCGCTGTGTCTTGGTTCCAGACCAAGGTTGCTGCACAGGGCATGGCTAACCATGCACCATTCGAACACATCAGGTACTGAGCAGGGTCTGTTGGGTGGCTCGAGAAGGTCCCAGCCTCTGTGCAGGACCCCCCGGGCATAGGGGTTGCTGGAGGAGAGAGAGAGAGAGATACATAAGAATAATACTGTATTTTTATATGGGGAAATAAATTCCAATGACAAAATACTTAAATGTTGCTTACAAATTTATTATTTACATTTACAGGTATCCTCTTTATCACTTGTAAGCTCACTGGCTGGTTAGGCAGTTGGTCACTTCTCAGGTGCATACTGTTGGCAGGTCTCGGTTATGACAAGTTAGTTTTGACAATTTTCTCTACTGGTCGCTTCTCTTCGGCACCTCAACAACCTTGAGAGATTGGGGCGCCTGAACTTGCCTAGCTTACACTACAGACGGGCAATGGGGCGACCTAATTGAGGTGTATAAGCATCTCAAGGGGGCACTACTCAGTGGAGTGTCCTTACTTGGAGCTGGCGGACGCTCGCCCCACAAGGGGTCACAGCTCAAGATTGAAGAAGCCGTAAGTCCAGAAAGCTGTGAGGGCAAACTTTTTCGGAGTGAGTTGTGAACTCTTGGAACAATGTACCAGAAAGCACTTGCCAACAGTGCGTAACAAAGACGTGACCGATCGTCCAAACGGCTAACGAGCCGATCAGTGGTGAAGAGGATAAAAGTGAAAAGTTAACTTGAGGCCGCGGCAGGTAACAATGAGTTTGTTTCTATTGACAAAGATAATATTATGTAGATGTTGACCTCTGTGGGAGTATCCTTTCTAGAATAAGGTACAGTAGAGCCTTCCCCTACCTCATATAGCGACCCATCTCCCAAGAAATGCGTCTCAACTGTTGGCAGGATGTCAATTTATACTGTTTTAAGTTCTGCAGATACCAGACCTGCACCCAGGTAAGCAGCACAGGGGGTGCAAGGGGGGGGGGGTTGCCTATTTGGTCACCTCGTGAGTACACTTGTCTCGTGAGGGGGTAAAGACGTGTCTGCATCCCTGGAGCGTGAAATTGTCACTCAGAAGGGGGTTTGCCAGAGAGGTCAGAGTCAAAAACAAGCAGGTCTGTCTAACAAATCTGCTAACGTTTTTTAGGAAAGTCTTCGAGGTAGTAGATAATGACGAAAATTACGATGTTATTTATTTAGACTTTAGCAAAGCTTTTGACAGAGTACCGCATCAGAGGCTTCTGAGAAAAATTAAGGCTCATGGTATCGAGGGGAAAGTTATAAATTGGATAAAATCATGGCTCACCAATAGAACGCAGAGGGTCAGCATAGATGGTGTTAAATCTGAGTGGGGCCGTGTAACCAGTGGGGTTCCCCAGGGGTCAGTACTAGGCCCACTCTTGTTAATAATCTACATAAACTATCTAGATACTGAGATCAGCAGTGACATAAGCAAGTTTGCGGATGACACCAAAATAGGGCGGCAAATTAATTCAGGGCAGGACGCAAATGCATTACAGGAGGACCTAAATAACCTGCAGGGGTGGTCTGAAAAATGGCAAATGAAATTCAACACCAGCAAGTGCAGCGTACTTAATATTGGAAGAACAAGTACTTATAATGTATACAGCCTTAACAACATCAACCTAGAGAAGTCGACTTGTGAAAGAGACCTAGGGGTACTTGTAAGCCCGGACCTACGGCCTAGAAAACAGTGCGTTAATGTTCGAAATAAGGCAAACAGAATATTGGGTTTTATATCTAGAAGTGTAAGTAACAAGAGTGCAGAGGTCTTATTGCAACTATATCTTGCGCTAGTCAGGCCGCACCTCGATTATGCGGTTCAGTTCTGGTGCCCCTATTATAGAATGGATATAAATTCACTAGAGTCGGTGCAGCGAAGAATGACAAAAATGATTCCGGGAGTTAGAAACCTTCCATATCAGGATAGGCTAAAGAAACTTAACTTGCATTCCCTAGAAAGACGAAGAGTGCGGGGAGATATGATAGAAGTATTTAAGTGGGTGAAAGGAATCAATAAAGGGGATATAGATAAAGTTCTTATAATATCCGAGCAGGATAGGACTCGGAGCAACGGATTCAAGTTGGATAAGTTTAGGTTTAGGAGGGAGATAGGAAGAAACTGGTTCACAAATAGGGTGGTGGACGAGTGGAACAAGCTTAGCAACTTTGTAGTAAGTGCGGGAACTCTGGAAAGTTTCAAAAGGAGGCTAGATAGATTCATGGATGATAGAGAGTGATAGTAACTCTCGACAGGAGCTGCCATGCACAGGCCAACCAGCCTATTGCAGACTCCTTATTTTCTTATGTTCTTAAGAATCATCGTCCCAGCTTATTTTACCTGAAGATTAAATCACCCTAAAACTATTTTGGGAGGATGAGGTTAGGTTAGGTTATATATATATATATATATATATATATATATATATATATATATATATATATATATATATATATATATATATATATATATATATATATATATATATATATAGTGAGTCATAATACCTAGTGTGTAACGGGGATGGCCGACTCAAAGGCCACCAAGGCGTGAATTTGTTTAAGGTGTAGAAGCTGTCGCCAACACAACAACCACACCCTGAGTTATCGAGCTGCATGACCCAGTGTCAAGGAATAGTCTAACACAGGCACCAACATTCTAACAGACACCAACATTCTAACATCTATGAATATTACTCGTACAGCATACAGTAGAGTACTTCAATATGTAAAGAATATGGCAATGATCTTCGGGCCCTACGAGGAATGGGGTTTACGACAGAACACGAAGAAGACACGTAATGCGTTCTTGGCTGTTCCAGTTTTCACGACCCAGAGAGAATAAAAACGGTATAAATTTCAAACTATATTCAAGAGATATATAAAAGAGTTCTATACAATAACACTTGGATATTTACAAACATAGCTCTACAGATCAAGGAGCTAATGAAACCATTTTAAGCTACCGTGTATTTGACTGATACTGTGCTGTACAACTCAAATGGCATCCCTCTCACTCCATCAGGCATCCCTCTCACTCCATCAGGCATCCCTCTCACTCCATCAGGCATCCCTCTCACTCCATTTGACATTCCACCTTAACACCCCATCTACTCACTCTTAGTTGCTGCTCTGCCGCAGGTCGCTGTGTCTTGGTTCCAGACCAAGGTTGCTGCACAGGGCATGGCTAACCA